GTCCAGTATTGGAAATACCCCAATTCAAAAAATGAAATGGAAGCTCTTATTACCAATCATGTGAAAGAATATGTTTTGAATAATACATGATGATAAAAAATTTGCTGGGAAACCGCCTACTCATGGATATATTTGGTAAATTAGTTTATCTAATGGTATGTGAGAGATGAAAACGCATGTGTCGCGCATGTGTGCGTAGTTCCATATGCATCTTTCTGTGTACACTGCTTGTAACTTTATGAAGACTGCGCCAAATTTCTTATCATTTTGATGATTTTAGAACTTTGCAGTACATCTATGCTACGTAGATGATCAACCTTTTTTGATCGATTCCACAACGTTTCTTTCACAATGCAATTGCATGGCCATAACTGGTCTTTATATTTAACCAATCACACAGTCGGAGAAAATAGAGTCCATTGGTCATGTACAGCTGTAGGGCCAGTGAGATGAGGCAATGATGAGTTGTTGTCAGAAGATTTTTTTTAAGGGTGATATGAGTGGGTTTTTTTGGTTTAGAGCGAGAATAGGATGTACGCAAAATGATATGAATTACATTTAAATGTTGATGTTATATTATTGGCTTTCAGTATATGATTTGTTCATCTGAAGAAACAAAACCGAAAAGTTGTCATTTGTATATTCTCAACTCACACTTAAAGACTGGATATCTTTAAAGAAAAATATTTTGCTGCTCCCACATTGATTACTCTGTCAAGTATTTTGTAGTATTTTTTTCTTCTATGAAAGTAATATTACAATATAACTCTGTTTTTTGTAGACCAGTGCACCATCACTCATGCAAGAAACTAGGAAGTGCTTGTACTTTAGAGATTTAATCCTCTGAATATACAGTGCGTCCCAGAAAAAACGAAACTGAGAATTATCAATGTTTTAACATAACTTAGTTACATTTATAATTAATAAATGACACATATTTGGAAAGCTTAGATCCTCCTCTTTCATTTGATGGAACTCATATAATGCATATTTCACGCATGAGTGATTAAAATAAATTTGAAGAGAGGAAACCACAAATTCATTTGGCGGATGGCATCTGAATTTCAAAGAAAAAAAATCACATTTCTAGAAAGTTGAGTTGCTGCCCTTTCATATGACACCTCAATCACAAAAAATGAGCTTGGAACAACAACGTTCTATATGATTAAAGTATTGCTTGCATTTCCATAATTTTATCAACGATTTTGTTTTCACTGGCTGCCTGCCATAGCAATAAACATAGTTGACAAAAGACTTAACTCCGTTTCATTGACAATCAGCCATGCATGAAGTCTTTTGTCTACGGTCGTTTTTTTTGGGACGCACTGTACAGTAACTCTCCTTGTCTATAGATTTGTTATATACATGTACTGTGAGAATAGTGCATTTGTCCAATGTGAAGTTCTTTTTTCTTTCCTGACTTTGTTTTTCCATACTTTGTTCCTCTCTTGTGTGATGAAACCACCTTTGTATTTGTGAGCAAGAGGAAGTACCATCATAAATTCACATCGTCAAGCTGATAAGAAATGATATTATATGGTCGAAGGCATTTTGTGATAGAACAGCAACAATGCAGGTTTGTTGTTGTATGTTGTTGAATGATCGATGATTGTTTTACCTGACCTGTTTTGTTGACTTTTTTATGGTTCTTTCCTTAGTTCTTTCTTTAAGTTAATACATGCTATGACATGTTTGATCAAATGTTTGATTCAGAAACATTCATCGTATATTATTTCAGTGCAAAATGATGAAATGTCTGTATGGAAATATTTCTCAAGGAAAAGGCATCAATGAAAATGAATAAACATATGAAAACCTAACTGGAAGGAATTTGAGAGTATAGTTTGAGGAGGCAATGTGTTAAGCAAGTTCCTCGAGGACCTGTTTAAACAAACGCCTATGTGACGGTTTCGCCTCATCATCCATCCCCTGCAGGCATGCAAACATTATGGAAGCATCACATCATCATTATCATCACTTTCCTACCATGCACACTGCCCCACCATGAGTGTGTGCGAAACCTCGAGACTTGCATGATTTCAAGGTGCCGTTAGGAAACGAAGTCCATGTACATGTACTTCTTTCATTCATTATTATTATGATGGCAGAGATTCGATATGTACGATATGATTACCAATGATCTGTACAGCATTGTATAGCGAATTATGACATCAATTTATTCTTCTGATCTCTGATACACTAACAAGATCATCTATAGTGTCAGCTTTTTTGTCCTTTCACCCCTTTCTTTTTGCAGTGTGTATACAGTAAGGGCATGGATTATTGCAGACAGTTTTGAATTATTACATTTTCTTTGAAACATTAGGTAGTTTTCTCTTTGTCTCTTAATTAAATCCCAGTTTTTCTTGAGAGGAATGAGTGTAGCACTAGCTGTCATAAAGACATGATTGCTATCATATTTTGTGTGTTCCTAAAGATCAATTTAGCTTTACTTCTGGAGTACCACTGATATCTTAGTATGGTGGTGGCCATATAGAAATTGAATTGTAAAATCCAAGCACCCTCTGCATCTTGGATGCACAGACTAATCCTAAGCACTAATGGATGCTTGCACAAGGAAGATATTTTACATTGGTGTTACTTTCCCTCATGGCTTTCAAGAATATTTAAATAGTCAAAGCTCCAAGGGCGATTTGTCAAAACAAATTTAAAACCAAGAACGGAAAGCTGAAGTGTTGATTCTATATTACCGAATGTCTCATTGACTTCTCGTTAGCTTCAATGTTGCATGTAATGAAGGAATCTTGGAGAGGGTAGGGATGTGAATAACAATATTTTATTACATGAAATATTGAATCCCTGTGATTACATTGCTCAATTTTAATTTTGGAAAGGATTATTTCACAAACATGAACATTGTATCTTTTTAATTTTATCATCTTTTTGGGAACCACAAGGAAGTTAAATTATGACAAGTTATGGTTTACACTCTTCTGTCAGTATTCAATTATCTCTGTAATTTTCCTTTTGTCATACTTGAATACTTTTAGAAACTACAGACCCGAATTTCCTTTCAGATTCAAGACAATTGATGATTTATGGTCCTATAAATCAATCAAGTACACTTAGCATATTCTATCAGTGTCAGCTTTCTATAGAATACCAGTAGAATAAATTACATTTTGTCTCCTAGAACATTTTACACAGAGTTAATTTCCCTCTGACTCCAAAGAGACAATTTGTTTTTATGTTATGGTGTAAGGACAAAACAATAGCTATTCACTCGTTTCCAGCTCCTTCAAAACTGTAACACGACTGCATATACACATTAATTTGGTTAGACTTGAGAGCAATCATGTTCTAGATATATTGCATTTCTGCTCTGTGGGAGAGAACTGACTGTGCTTTGTAACATAGAACATACTCCTTTTGACATTTGGATGGAAGTGAAGGAGGAGATACCCCAGGTGTTTGGAGAGATGGAGAGGGGAAAGGGTGCATGTTTTGTATACTTTTAAGACACTAACCCCACATTCAGACAATCAGAATTCCTTGTATACCACCTGCCTAACGTGACCAGCAACCACTCATTTTGCTTCCGCTGGCCACCTAAAATACCCACACAACGACCCGGGGTCAGCACTATGTAGCGACCAGCAACAGCAGTGCTTGAGCAATTTCATTCTCTCGCTCTGGTGTATACAGCTCACACAGCGGCAGCCTATAACGCTAGATCTAACGGTCATTAAAAAAAAAAAAAACTATTCAATCCCAAGCCTTTATTAAAACTTCAATCAAAACAGGAAACAAAAATGCCGGACAATTTCAAAGTAATAAAAATATGGTAAATCATTTCATATTTTAATTTTGACTAAAAACTGTACCACTCTTTGTTTATTGAATTTTTAAATGGAAACTTGGAGTTTTAAGATTTATCGGTTGGCTTTAAATGGCCGCCAACACCAACCTGTTTTCAAAGACCACCTGTCTACAACGACCACTTTTTGTATTTCCCTTGTATTGGGTGGTCGCTATAGACCGGTTTGACTGTAAATTTTCCATATACATCTCCTATAGTCTGAACTAGCTATTAGATAAGATAAAGTTCAGCCCAGCGGAGGTAAAATAAGAGTCTTGATGCCTTCAAGAGCCATTAGTGGTTAGAAACAAGAACTCTTCCAAATCTAAGGCCATCTCTAATAAACAAAAAAAAATCTTGATGTATAGTGACTAAGATGGTGGGGTTGATGAGAGTACAGTGTCATTTGTGTGTATGTTAGGAGGATTGCATTACAGCATGATCAACATGAATAACCAGGCTACTTGATGGGTGATTGAGGCTCTCTTAGTCACAGACCATGGGTGCATTCTGAATCATGTTCTCGTTCTTTTCTTGATCACGTTTGACAGAAGCGATTAGGTCTGTTGTTAAGTGTCGACAGGTAGCATCATTTGGGGTTGAAATTTTTCATCAGTGTCAAAAGAATGTTGGTAATTCCAAGATAAACTGATAAATTTAACTAGGATTCCAAATATTTGTAAATGGATTAAACCTGGATCATGTTAGACAAATGTTTGTCTTGAAATTGGCAGTTGGATTTTCTGAATTAGAACGGGGTGCTTTATAAGTAGTCTCATTGATAACACCAAAAGAATAGCTAATAAAAAAAACCCCAAGAAACTGCTTCTAGAAATTACTTCTAGAACAAATGCATATACTGATGGAGGAAATCCATGATACAATATTAAGTTTTGATGATATCTGCTTAATTTATTGTACTTTACTGTGATTCCCTGCTGTTCCTGTCCCAAACTATTGTTGTTTTACAGATACCCTTTATTGAATTAATCCAACTACTCCAACTACTTTTACCTCTTTTCATGGAATTTTCATGTGATGTATGTGTAGACAGTTTTTTATAACCAAATCTTTTATTTGTGAAATTTGGAAAGGTTAAAAGCTTAACATGAACTCATTAATGAAAGAGAAGTCAATGAAATCTTTGTAATTGGAAATATATAATGCTAATGCTTATTTGTTTCTTGTAACTTTCAGTGATGCGACAATCAGAAGAACAGAAGAAAGGAGAGGAGAAGAAGAAGGAGGGAAAGAAAGGGTCAAGGCATACAGATGACCCTGAGGGTTGGTCAGTTCCTAAAGGAAAAGAACGTTTCAAGCATCACACTTATGAAGAGCCACCCGATGTCTCTCCTCCCATCAGAAGATCTGAAACGCCCGACAGTTACGTCGGGGAATCAAGCGATGAACTCAATGGACACTCTCCAGCAAGCATGTCACCTTCACCTCATCGGCAGGTCAACTATTCCAAAGATCACCACTCATCATCGCCGATGTCGTCAGAGAGCGCGGATGACACCTACCCACCGATGCATTCCTCCTCATCTCAGAACCACCGTCAGCAGACACCACAGCACGACAGGAGACCGACGGCTGAGTATGACAACCCTTGGGAGTGGAGCAACATGAAGATGGCTAAACTTGGTCCTAGTCCAGAAGGATTGGAAGGTCCAAGAGGGAGGAGCAGGTCTGAACTTCCTGCTAACAGGGTGATGAGGACGAGTCCTGAGTCGGATACCAGACCAGGGGATGAGTACGACGCACCCTGGGAGTGGATGCCTATGAATAGAAAACTTTCACAAGCTATCACAGGTGGGTGCAGGGGAGAGATCGGGACTGATATTCTTCATTTTAATATTAGAATTATAGCAAATGGGAAGTTATCAAAAATATAAGAACTGAATTGAAAGTAAAAGCGTTACTCCACTTGAAAGCTCTATAATAAATCCTGATTGAATTGTATAGAAGGAAACGCCAGTGATGTGCTACCATAGAAAATAATAATAGTAATACACAACAGCTAGAAAGCAGTGGAATGTTATTTTGACAGGATAAGGAAAGATATTGAAAATACAGAATTGCAAATAATCATAATGGAGAATTTCAAGAACATGTATTGGGAGAGCTTAACAACAAAAACTGTTGTCACTTATAAAACCATTAATGCTGTAGAAGACTATTACTTTTAAATTATATCATCTTCTTTTGCAGACAAAGAGAAGCACCATGCGGGGCGTATCTCACCCCTCCCGGAGACTCCTACTAGGGGAGCTAAGAAGGGTAACATGAAGCTAGATATCAAGTCAAGACCGGTAGAAATGCCAGGAGAGCCTGTAGATCCTAATATACCCCTCACACATCAAACGTAAGTATTCTCTTCACTATCTTCTTCTAAGGCCCTGTTCACGCATCAAACAAAATGCTTTGTAAAAAGTGGCACTGCAAAATATAATTAAATAATGATAATTGGTTCTTGTATAGCGTTCATATCTGTCAATTTTGACACTCCTGGAGCTCCACAGCTATTACCCCAACTTTAGCATAGTTGCCTCTATGGAGCTGCAGTATTTTAAGAAATCAATTCCCACCAGGTACCCATTTATCTCACCGGGGTTGCGTGTGGCAAATGTAGAAAAGTGTCTTGCCAAAGGACATTAGTGCTGCGGCAGGAAATGAAGTGCGAACCATGGGATTCAGTTTGGTGACTTATCCACTAGAGTATGACACCTCTAAATGGTGTAGTTCACTTTCTATCTCTGTATCTTATACCACACAAATTCCATGGGTACACTTAATAATTATATTAATAATATAGATATATTGACTGCTATGAGGCATCGCTATTTCTGTAGGCTCAAGGGGTTATCGGCAGGATCTAATGTCCCAGAGAGCCAGTATAGAAACAGCGTTGCTTCAAATATTAAAGCATTCCATATATCTTTTATATGCCGAATTCACAAAAAAATCTACGAAGAATTCTTACCTTATTCTTTTCTTGAGTAAAGAATGGTTAATAATGATGATAATAATATTGGATATTTATATAACGCACATATCCACCATGCATGGTGCTCAAGGTGCTCCAACTGATACTCCGGCTCTGCTAGGCAGCTGATTTTGGTGCTCACAAGCATTCAAGGAATTCCTTCCTACCGGTACCCATCTAACACCTGGGTGGAGAGTGGCAAATGTAGATTAATATCTTGCCAAAGGACATTTGTGCTGTGACGGGACCCGAACCACGGACCTTGTGATCTACAGTACGACAACTTATCCACTAGACCACAACATCACACTGTCTGTAAATCTTTGCTAGAAAGTCGCCTGAATGTTAAGATCAATCGGGAATTGCACACACACTGCACTGTATTTTGTATCCGTGCTCGCACAATGCAATGCTGGAGTTTTCAATATCTCAGTGATCTGTTGAAGAAAAAGAGACCTGGGGAGTGTTTCACAAAGACTAAGATCAACTTTAAATTGGACTTAACTATGGCAGGCTATTTTCTTTCATCATTTACTCGCATTGGTTTCTCGAAGGACGTAGCAATCATGGTCACAAATCTACAGAATTAACATTTTTTGATAGTTCATTATTGTAGGAAAAATATTTCTAAAGATCATAATTGAGAGACCAATGGTGAGAGCAACTAGTGGCATGCACGGCCTCCAATAGTTAAGTCCAACTTAAAGTCAATCTTAGTCTTTGTGAATCACTCCCCTGGAAAGAAAGACAAGGTGCTGGATAGTATAAGACAAATCTAGGCCTACTCAAAATAAATACAACCACCCACACAAAGAAAAAAACAGACAGATAGACAGACTGGCAAAGAAAGCGAAAGATGATGACAGATGCCTGACAAATGCATTTAAAATACATGTGTATGCTTTCCGCTTGACATGACATCATCATGCCGTCACAATTGTGTCCTGTAGCCTGTAGGTGCCCTTCAACCAGAGCAACGACGTCACCAATGAAACTGTTGGTAACTCAAAACTCAACTCTTGAGATTGTACTGAGGTGGCTGTTGAACTATGTTCATGTTTATTCTTTTGAAACAACAGACAATCGCCAGGGCAACCATCTTGACGGAAAAGTTGAGAGTGTTTTGTGATGTCACAGCTTACAAAGCTTTGTGTAGTTTGTGATGTCATAATGGAGGATGACTAATATGAATAGAAATATTCTGTGGACTGTTCTTCATTTTACCAATAAAGTGACAACCTTCCTTTAAGTTTGAGAGTTAAAGTAACATCCTATATATGACTTAATTTCATTATTATTATCATAATGTAATAGTTTTGTAGAATCACTTGATAGAGAGGTTGATTTCATTTAAGATATAAATAATTTTGAAGTGGATATGAAGAAATGATGCGTTAACAAAATGCAATTTTAATGCAGGTTTATAAGACAAGAAAAGGCCTCAATCTTATGCCTGTTAGGCCCAAAATGAAACTGATAGCAGAACTAATTATCTGTTAAAGAAGAATTTTCCTTTCTTAATGGAGCATTGTGAAAGGCGTTATTGACCAAACTGAAACTGTTAATATCTACTTAAGAAAGGTTTTTAATCAAAAATCAAAGTCTGAAGTGAAAGTTCTCCTACATCATGGTTGTCTATATATAAGAAGTGATTTGTTCAAGGTCAGATTTCATGAATCATACCTTTCTTTTCCACACCCATATCATTTTTAGGATTGTTTCTTAAAAATATATTATTATCAAGAGACTTTGGTCAAGTCATCATTATGAGCAAGAAGGTTGTGTAATGAAAAAGGTATCATTCTGGCTCTCTCAGTCTTGGTTTATGTGTTATGAAATTGTTTTTGGCAACACAAATTGTATAAAAAAGAAGCATTTTCATCATCCTTCCATGTTTCAGTGGACCATTTATGTAGTTACCTCACTCAAATGTCATGTTGAAGTTACAGAAGAATTACCCATGCACGAGGAGAAAATTATTTGTATGCTTACAGAGAAATATTAAATTCAAAGGTTTCCGCATATTGTTACTGACATCATCTCTGCTTAAAAATGTCTTCCTTATTATTGCATGTACCCCATTGATTTTAACATGAAAATAATTAAATCCTGACTTTCATGACAGGAACATGAGTTCCACTCTTCCAAAGGCATTTATGAAACTTGGCCATGAGGGTATTTCACAACAAGGAAGTATCTTCTCTTTTTACATAGAAGGAAACAATTCCAGGGATCAGATTCTAAGTTAAGACAAAAGAAATTAGGTATCTATGTAGCTTTCAGTCCTGTGAAATCACTTGTTAATGAGTTCTAAAGTGTGCCACATCTTCATTATAATTTCTCAGGAGTAACTCAAGTATGATGTATGTAATCCCAGGAAGCTTTTACATTTTCTTGTTATTGTTGAAATCAGTCATTTAAATATTTCAGCGCATTATTTTTTATGTCCCCCTCCCTTTCTTGTTATTATGGGGTCTGCTGTTTTGGCTTTCAAAATCTGATTTATTATTATTATGAAATCAAATACGATATGACCTTTTCAACGCTGCTTGAATATCGATAAAACTATGTGACGCATCTTTGCTGTTCAGCCTACCAACAAGGAAACTCCCTCCATCAAAAGCTGTTTGGAAGACCTTGTAAAACAAGGAGTGGCTAAAAACCCTCTTGAGCTTAGTCAAAATGCAAAGACACGCTAACGGTTTAATTCCCTCTTGTGACGTTAAAGAAGGTCCTAGGTACCTCTCACTGTGACATCATTGTTAGTCTAACCACCGGATGCTAAGGTCCTTGGCATCAGCACCACCTTGTGACGTTAGAGAAGGTCCTAGACCTAGGTAACTTTCGCTGTGACATCATTGTTAGTCCAACCACCGGATGCTAAGGTCCTTGGCATCAACACCACCTTGTGACATTAAAAACAGGTTCTAGACCTAGGTAACTCTCGCTGTGACATCATTGTTAGTCCAACCACTGGATGCTTAGGTCTTTGGCATCAGCACCAGGAAGTTATGAGAATAGTGGATAGTTTCACTCTCATTCTTAGCTTGGTGTTAGATGTTCATTCGTACCACCATGTGCAATGATTCAATGTCTTTATCTCTAGTCTTTCTATTTCTCTTTAGAACTCTCCCATTTCCTTCATTTTCAACCTACTTCTTGTGGTCTATTTGGATACCTTTTCATTCTTTTATTTCCCTTTTCTGTCAGTTATGATTTACCTTATGCTTTAAAAGAGTAATTTTCGAGGTGGTCTTTTCCCCTTTCTCATTTTACTTTACTTTGTTTACCACTTGTTTTAGATATCAGATTTGTCTGTAATATCCAGGTAGTTCTCTCCTTGTATTAACTTGTTATCATACACATTCCTTTTGACACTTTCTCTGTTATTTCCCTGCCATTCCTTTTTATTTTCTCGGGGGGGGGGGGGGGGGGGGGGTGGTCTTTCACTGGTGACTTAACGACATGCGTACATATGTATTCTGTATATTATGTTACTACAAATGGTTTTCTATCATGAGGAGGATTACAATACACACAAGGCTATTCATTGGTAGGGCTAGCTATGTAGTGATTGTCTTGACTCAGCGTCATCACCATCATCATTATATGCCATGAGCACGCAACAGGGGCAGGTTCTGACACTATACAAGCAGTCATCATCATCATCACCATCATCATCATCATCACCATCATCATCATTACCATCATCATCACCATCATCATCATTACCATCATCATCGTTACCATCATCATCATTACCATCATCATCATCATCATCATCATCATCATCATCATCATCATCATCATCATCATCATCATTACCATCATCATTCTTCTCCTCCTCATCATCACATCGTCATCATGAGCTACTCTATGTGACTTGTACATTATTAGCTGTTAACCATCTTCTTTCCTGCAGTCTATCAGAGGAACTACCGGTAGTTAATACTTATGGGAAAGATATCTAAAATGCACACTTTTCATCTTGTTTTTCTTTATTACAGGTGGTATCACGGGAAGCTTTCAAGATCAGATGCGGAGAAGAAGTTAAAATTATGTGTTGAAGGCAGCTACTTGGTTAGACAGAGTGAGAGTGCAGCAAGGGATTACTCATTATCATTAAAGTAAGTATCATAGAGATGGGAGGTAAGGGGAGGGGAGGTTTAATAGGGGAGGTTAAGGGGTGGGGGTAGCGACTGGAAACAAGTGTCTCATAGGCACCATGGGGGAACATTGACATTTACACCAACAACAAAAATGCATAAAAGAATCCTTAAGATATTATATGCTTATATATGCCAAATATTATCGACACCTAATTAGGATTTTAGTTTTTAAACCTATGCTTTGTCTCTCAGCTAAAAAGCACTCAGTGGGTGAGAGAGCACCAAGCATCTCGTATTGAAAGTAATAATCATTGAGTAATTCAATAGCTTTCATAATACTGTAAAATTTAAACTATAAATATACTACATCTAAGAATATTAGCAACAAAAACACACACACACAGATATCATATAATGTTGTGGCAGTATTAAGTACACATATGAAAATTTGACCATTACTGAGTGAATATTTACATCAATCTGATACATGTATTAATGTATTTATATGGAAAGTAGAACTGTCAATCTCATAATAGGGAGTAGGGATGAGGGCAAAAGGAAAAAGATAGTCCCGACCGGCACCAATTTTGTCTCACTGTACTGGGTATTAATGAATAGATCATGGAAATGTAGGAATGCAGACTTCCAGTACAAAATGTACCTGACAAACGAGTTCAAAATACATAAGCATGTATAGTGGGATGGGTTTTACTCCCGCTAATTTTAGAGCTCGTCTTAAACTAATCTGATGTGAAGAGCAATATTTCCTCAACAACAAGGAGAAGTGCTATATAAGAGTGGGGGATCTGGTGACATTTCCAGAACAAACACGGTCTGAGGTTTATTTAGGAGGAGGCGATGGAGGAAAATGTATCAGTAATATTGACGGAGGAAGCGGGTATTCCTTGAAAATGTCACTCTGGAGAGGAGTGGATGGCGATTCTCAATTTCCATATCAAGAGAGAGATGGGGCATTGGGGGTACTGTCTGACTGAGCTGAGAGGGGGCCTCTTCATACTTAGCATTGGGTCTTTTTACATAGCATGAAGTATCTTAGGGAAAATGAAGAAATCGGTCACACATAGACAGTAAGCGTCTCTAATTTGTATTGATTTTGAAACGTGAATTGGGTTGGAAGAGGGGAGGGGGGGGGGGGGGAGGGGGGGGGGGGGGAGTTGTTGACTGAAGCATTAGAAAAGGAAAACATCCCAAAAGTCATCCTTAACATTGGGTCTATTTACATAGCATTAAATATCTTGGAAGAGAATGAAAAAAATTGGTCACACATAGACAGCAAGCGTCTCTAATTTGTATTGATTTTGAAATGTGAATTGGGTTGGAAGAGGGGGGGGGGGAGGGATTGTTGACTGAAGCATTAGAAAAGGAAAACATCTCAAACTCATCTGATTTTTGCTAGGGGAAAATTCATACTAAAAAAAAACATTCACTCATAACCATGGGTTTTAAAACTTAATGGTATTTATCTCAAAATTGAATAGGGATCAGTGGAGGTGTTAAATTGCATATTGAAAATGAAAACATTTTGACTGCATTGCGTTTATTGTTTGGGTGACAGCTTCAGGGGTTGGGCCCCTCCACACATACTAAAAGAACTAGAAGTTGCCTTTGATTCAGGTGTGATCGGGGCAGAGACATATCTCACACTCATTTTCTTTCTCAAAAGGATTGGAAAAATGTCTTACACCTGAAAAGGGGTAGAGATATATTTCACACTTGCCTAAGGACCTCCATTTCACCTCTTTCACACTAGATCATTGGTGTGAAATAGAACAGCAAAGAATTGAAAGCATATTTTTGTTGCATTTCACATGGGGTGACAATGAATATTAAAGTAAATGTTCATGGTCCAAGGTCTGTTCACATTTGATTGTTAGTGTGAAGTGAACTGAAAATATATTTTGCACTTCGCATGAGGTGCTAGTCAAGTTGAAAATAATTGTCATGGCCCATGGTCTGTTCACATTGAATAAGCGGTGTCAAGTGGAATGGCAAGGAACTCAATTTGTATACTACATTACACATAGGGTGATAGTGGAAATCAAAGTGCATGTTAATGCCCTTCGATTCAAGCAGGGTCACCCCCCCCCCCCCCAATAGCTAAACCCGCTGGAAAGGAGAGGCCACATATGTGGTTTATAGATCAGTGGAGAGTGAATTCTTCATTTCAAAGCGTCACATTTTATGATTCATGAATAAAAGAAATGTGTATAAAATCCTGGAATAGTGCATACATGTAGATTAGTATTAGACTAATAGAAGAAACCCATTTGAGAGATGGTCTTCATTTTTTTCTTTCAAAACAGCATGTTAAAAGTAGAGTACATTCTGATATTTTACTGTGGTCGTACATACACATACACATGTACCTGACCTTATAAAAGGTTGACTTAAGCTTTGTGGTATTACAAGAATGGAGGCTCTTGTAATAACTCTTATAGTTTGAATCATGAATATCAGGAATAGGGAAGTAATTTGTTTTCATCAAGTATCCTTGTAGAAATCCTTGTAATTATGATTTGGTTTTAAATTTCAATACAAGGATGTATGCTGGAAATAAGCACTTGAATTCCTTTGTTTTAATAGTAAAACCTTATCATATCACTTGCTGAATATAGAACTAATCGACCTTGTGGAACAATAGGATTATACATGGTGAATGGAGTTTGAATTAAACCACCAAGTTTGCCATCATCTCAATTGTTTTTCTTCCTCAAAACTCATCAGTCATCAATATTGAAATGAATAACACCTTGCCTTGAACCAAGTTATGAATATTATTGTGGTCTACTAAAATAATTGTCTATGTATTATTTTCATTGCAAAATTGTTTGCAATGTGGGTTATTGTAAAAATATACACAACTGATATTGTTAATGCATCGCCACTCCCAACGTACGTTTTGTTCTTCAGATGATACTAACCTCTTACATTCTCATTACAACTTTCAATTTAGTATTGAATAAGTTATCATCTTGTTTCAAATTTGATAAACTCTCCCTAAATATAAATAAGACTTATTACACTGATTTTAAGAACATATACTCTAATCATGTACATGTAATTCATAATAATGTTTTTATAGATGACACGCCCATAATAAAAAAAGAAGTAAAAATCCTCTTAGGTGTGAAACTTGATTCAAATTTAACTCAGAATAGTCATATTATTGATATTTGCAAATGTTAGTCTCAAGAGGCATATGGTATGTATTCTATATAAATTAGAATATTCTCTTGCACGACAGTCACATTCGACGTTCCACAGAGTTCTGACAAAATAAATGAAATTCAAAAACTTATCACTCTGAAATGTATATCTCATTTTAATTTCACGACCCTGCCAGTTTATTCTTGTTCATCAAAGTTATTTTGTTTCATGATGACAGTAATTTATACAGAAATTAGGGGGTGACACCCAGCTCTCCACAATTTAGTGGACTATAAAGTTAAGCCAGGTTCAACTCAGACTACTTAAAAAAATATATACAGCAGTTTGATATTGAAAGATATGAATATGCTATTTAAACCTCTGTATTAACATGACTGTGTTTCTTTTCTCCTTTTCTTACAGGAGTGCAAAGGGTTTCATGCATATGAAGATCGTCTTCAACCATCAATCAGACGGCTACATCCTAGGAGAGTTCAGCAAACCATTCCCTAGTATCTCAGAAATGATCTGCTACTACACCAGGCAAAAGCTCAACATCAGGGGCGCCGAGCACATGGCGTTGCTACACCCGGTCATAGACCAGCTACTATAGGACCTGTCCTGGATGTAGAACCCTGTAGAAGATAGACTGTTCTAGAAAGACTGACTGGCAGTGATTGGGACGAAGAATATGCTTTATCAGTTTTTCTCCCTCTCCATCTGTCTTCAATAGATGGATTGATGGAGGCAGAGCAAACAAAAGAATAAATATTAGTCCTCAAAAGTCCAGAGGAGTCCATCTTCTCCGTGTTTAGCCTGTCCTGGTGCTCCGGATTGTCCCAGAAGAGGCTCTGGACTATCTGATAGTCCAGAGGGTTTACTGTCTGCAAGAAAAGCCAGCTACTGAGATCCATATTGCCCCAGTCCAGGTCTAACAGATAGACTAAATTAAATGTTGTTGGAGATATGTATGGTTAGGAACACCCCTGCAGATGACCTTTCCTAGAAAAAACTGTTCCAGAAACATGGAAGCTTGAAGGCGTGAAGACAGTTTCTGGACACATACCGGACACTGACGCAGGCCGAGGATGATGCTTGGAAGGTACAACTCCCACTCTGTGAAAGACACTAGAATGGAAAAACAAACAGCTTTGAGAGTACTGTGTAAATATTTAAAAGAAATGAAGTTATGGCAGTTTTCTTTAAAAGGATATTGTTTGCAGCTGTCATCGACTTTGAGAGGGGAATGAAAGGAAGGATGGCCTGCAACATGGTGATTGTCAGAGGTACACCCAGACAGCAGCTGGCTAGACTGTTGCTGCTTCTGGTGTGAAGTGATAGACATGGCAATGTTTGGAAGGGATTTGCTACAATTGGAGCAATTTAGTAAGCTCTACACATACTGAAGGATGAATGGATGGATGGATGTCAATCAAGTATGTCAGGGACTTACTTCCTTCTGCTTCTAAACGTGCATTGATATTTGCCACCTGTAGGTTTATTGATAATGAAACAGAGGATAAAACGTTTTTGGTGCTACCCATGATGGGTAGTATGTAACACAGGAAAGGCATATATCTATCAAAGACTTATCTTTCATCACAGATACAAAAGCTATGGTGATTATAAATATGAAATTATAATTAAAAAAATGAAGTGTGCTATGATTATAAAGAAGCAAAGATATAAACTGATAATGGTGTATGTGGTACTTTATTTGGAATCATACTACATGTGTTACAGGGTCATCGTAGTGATACACTAATGTAGACATTTGCATATGATGTAAGCTTATTCAAATCATCTCTCTGTGGACCATTCTTCTTTTTCTTTTTTTAATTTTTAAAAACAATTTCTCATTTGAAACAGATATCATTTATTGGCAAGAGGACGTAGTTCGACATGGTATATTTTTTTCCATGCAAGTCAATGATGATGACAATGGATACAATTTTGTACTTAGATCTCCCAAATCTTTAAATAACGTTCTTCATCATGTGTTGGAGAAGCATTGCTGAGACATGTTTCAGCGTGCAAGGTCATTATTCAAATATTCAAATGAAGGTAGACAGCTGTGACACTTTACGATGTCATCTCACATGTAGATACAGATTGAAGATGGCAGGTTCCGTCTTCCAATAAACCAAGCTTGAATGCAGTGCAACACTATATGCAATATTAACATACTTTGATGTACATGGAATATTCTTTGCACGATGTGACTTGTTACATGGTGATTCTCTTTTCCAAGTTTTCTCTATTTTACATTTATAGTGAATTGGTACATATACATGTAGATTAGATTTCAGTGATTAAAAGTACACCAAAGTACAGAGGATATGATTTACAGCGGTTTCAAGCTTTGAAAAAGTTGGCAAAATGGCAAAGTTGAAAAAACAAACAAACATAATCTAGAAATGGAAATGTTATTCCTATTTTTGATTGAATGTTATTAAAAGTTAAAGCATCAGACCATTGAGGGATAAATAAAATTTAGATTTAAATCTAAAACCTAATTGATTTGTAGCAGATTGTGACGCCATCTGTACCATGGTGAAATCATTTGTACGGTATACATTCAAATTACCAAAGGAATCTACATGTTTTGTGGCAGTTTTGACTTCAAACCCTGGATGGATTTACCTTTAACTTGGCCTTAAGCTAGAGATCAGTGATGTTTGCAAACACAACAAGTGTGTAGTCCCATGTGTTTGATATGGTGCACAGCTCACTGATCCCTGCCTGCCTGCATGCATACTGCATACGTTCAAACAGATTTCTTGACTATAGCCTAGGCATGAGAAAGGCATGCACAAGTGCTGTGTACAAGTGCTTTCCACTCATAGCAAGAGATCATTATCATGGTAATGAGGCAGTCCCATGTGCAGTGAATCGTGTCTTTCCCAACTCCCAAAGTGCATACATTTTCAGTCCCTGCAATAAGCTGGAGGAGCTTGACGTGATAGACAACATTTCGACCTTTAGACGATATATGATGCATGCTTGCAGCCTAGGATCAATACTCTTTCTCAACTTGGTAATTGTGTAGTCCCTCTCGTCCAAAACCGTGTCATGTTTCAGGAAGAGGAGGTTTATATTCCATGGGATATAGATCAACTGTGTGCAGTTTCCTTATGGCACATAATAACTTAGTCCCAAGTGTGAAATTGATTGTCTTTTTTTATCTTTCGGTGGTGAGAGGGTTAAGATCGACTCCCATGCAGGCAAGGATTCCAGTCATATATTCTAGAGTTATTTGACATCATTTTAAAGACTTTTCTAAAGGACATTCACCTGTAGAGCAGAACATAATAAAAATAAACATCCAATAAAGGTATTTATCCCAAAGAAAGTAGCTTACTAGTTAGCCATGCATATACACCTTTTTTCATGCGTATGGTATTTTTTATATGGTACTATCACTATATATTCTCTGTATTGTCAATGGATCATGAAATATTTTGTCTTTCTGTTCATTATTTCAGAGCATTTTTCCTCATGTTTAATTTCAATGTGCAATGTACATGTACCTTATTTAAAAGTATTGATTTTACACTTTTTTTTGGAGATATTGCTTTTCCTCTTTTCATTGCCTTTATCTCTCCTCACAATGAATTCACTTTTGGTGGAATACTCTGTGAATCTATGTCAGGCAATCATACATTAATGCTCCTAGAACTTTTACAGTGTTTTGGGTTGAATTCTGTTGAAAGAAATATTTTCCTGCATTCCTTAACATTGAAGATTGCATGGATTTTTTAAATGTAGAATTTCTTATTCTATTATTTCATGCTATATTATTTTATATATAACCCAATAAGATCTTATTTCCACTGTTTCAACATGTAAACTTGATCTCTTTTTGTTACAAGAAATATTTTTTATATTGTTTTCAGGAAGGTACGCTAGATTAACTTTGTAATTAATGTTTTGTAATTTTACATTATTGAACACTTTCAAGCAGAGCATTCATAAATCCTTTCAGTTTTCTTTGTAATCAAGTAATCTGATCTGTTTCTCATCATCGGATCTCTTTTCAAGAATTGAAATACAGTTTCTCTTTCTGTGAGCTATTGTCGATTGTATGTCAGAGGCCGTCTGGCGATCCTTTCTATGTCATTTCATATTTTGCTGCAGATCGCCTAATTTGTCAGCAGTGACGAATTTCGGTCTTATTTTCATTTATTTTGTCATAATTAAAAAATCCGGGGGATACTTGTTTCTACATGTCAGTAGATTATTTGTTTGTCTGGCAAATGTCACCACAAAACAATTATCTAATTAAAATTTGTCTGTGTCCATGTCCCAACTTTTATTGAAGTCTTATGTAAACAGACTTTCACAGAGATAATAAGATGGATCTCACTTTCAGCACGGAATCAAACGTTTCTTTTCATGGTATCTTTCTCTCTGTGGATTCTATCTTTAGATCTCAAAGACATTGTGGTTAGTGACAATGAATACTGACATGAGCATGTAATTATTGTAGCCCTCCTTTTCTTACACCCCTCTCCATACCTCCCTCCACCAAACCATGAGGCTGTGGCAGAAAGCCCATTACAAAGACGAGCCGAAACCTGATCCGCCTCCTGGGACGGCTGCATGTGTCGTCCGACCGATGATTCAGCGCGGCCTTTCTTGCCCGCCATGAATGCTAATTGTGGTGTCGCACCAGTCGGTGGAGACTGGCTAATGCTCGAGAGGTCCTTTGAAATATTATCTTCCTTAGAATAGTCTCCCCAGACTTCTTTTTATCTGGGAGAAAGTCATCTCGAAGACTGGCCAGAGTTTGGCCAGCCTTTTCCTTTCTCCCTCTGTCTCTTTCCTCACTCTTTAGTCCTTTCTTTTCTTTAATTCTCTGTTCTGTCTCTCTATCTCTCCTTCACTTCCCCTCCCTTCTCTCTCTCTCTCTCTCTCTCTCTCTCGAATCTATTTTTTTGGGGGGAAAGGGTGAGAATGCAGCAGATGTGAGGTCCCCAAATGAATGAGATGAGAAATGCAATTTCATAATGAACTGTTAACTATATTTATTGAGTATCATCCCAGTTTCCCAATCAAGTTACCCTGCCTGCCTGTGTAAAGGGGACCTGACAGGTGGTGACAAACATTCGAGGGCAAGGTAGTCAGAAATACTAAACTTTGAAAAACTTTCAATTCCTTCAAATATGTCATAACAAATATTCAAATTCAAGTATATGCATAGGACCTACTTGTGTTAAGAATTTAAGTAGAAAAATAAACATTGTTCTTCAAAATTTCGGTTTTGCTTTGATATTTCTTTTTTCTAATTTTTTTAAAGGGAATGAAATACATATACATGTAATACATTTATAAAGAAAACAATAGTGAATTCAATCAGCAAGGCACAAGTAGTGCATGCTCTAATTTTAGGTGTCTTCTCCTCTATGTTTTATATTTGTGTGCACCCCCCCCCCCCCCCCAACCCCTCTGGTTGATAACATGCATCTCATGCCCATTAGGTTTCCTGTAAGTGAAGCTCCTATCCCACCCCAGGCTGAGTAAGATCATCACTATACTCCTCAGTCAGTGAGCTTGAGTGCTCTAACTCTCTTTGCATCAGGTAACACGACTCTATACTAAAAAGCATGATGAATACCCCTTCTGCGCCTTTCCCGGAAAAAACACTGTTGCCCTAATATGTGACGACGGCCAAGAAGATATGAAATTCCAGAGCTTCTATCGATCCTTGAGCATTATGGTTGAAGCTAGTAATCAAATCTTGAAGCATACACTTTGCTTGTTGCAGATTGTTAGCATCCATCTTGTTTTTGATGTGGAGAAGGACGATCAGTTTTCACTCTCATACAGGCATGGAAAACTAGTCTAATTAATGATGGATTTTTGTTTAGACTCGTTGTAAAGGTGCTAAGGGCTGAATGTAGGCACATTCTAGAACTAAGGTTGCAGGGTGATGTTGCTGAAATTATAAAGATCTCCTCCTCATTACAACTCATTTAGTCCATTTTTCAATTTCTAATGCAAAATATGCAATTTTTGACGGATGTGAGAACCCCTTGTGAAACCTCTTTTTTTACTGTGACAATTAAAGTATGAAACTTCATGTTTCACACACTAAATACTGTCAAACCAAGAATAGAATTGAGATGAAACTTTCATGATTTGTAAAACAAGGGTGATTCTGATGACAAAACATTTGCGATAATTAAGTGTTAGGTATGCCAGTTGTGATTTCAATTTATCTGGGCATGGAACTCACAGTGCTGAACCACTTGCAAAAGTCATGGAGATTGTTTAATCGCATACATTTTTAGTTTTTCAGTATTTCTATTTGGGGCATCATTCATTCCATTTTATTTGAAAAATATTTCTTTCCGAATGTATCGATGAAATAACAGGCTTTTGTTTGTGAGCAGACACCAAGTCTTTGATATTGTATCTGAAATGTTTGTTTCTCTCCTCTTTCTCAGTCTATGGTTTCTACATCAATAGTGAGATTCATGCATTTTTATCTGCTATACATGTATTTTGTATGATACACTGTGTAGATCAATTGTATAATCATTGATACACTGAACTTCTTTATGCTATTTTCACATGTTGATTATTCTTTCACTGTGTAAACTGAATGTTTGAATTGCTTTTACAAGGTGCTCACAACTGAATCTCTTAATTCAGACTATCATACCAAAAAAGGAAAAGAATGCGTACATGTCAACATGAGATTTACTGCCTTATGAGTAGTTTTACAGGTGTTACGATTGTGTATTAAGTTTTTCAATTTTCTCAAAGGCTTGATCAGATATGACACGACAAAATGGCAGCGGTTTTACAATGAGGTAAAGTGTAATGAGCTTCACATTTCTAAATCGCATAACACAGAGCTTGGTGAATATGAACAAGTTCTTTTGTTGCGCGCAATTGCCATTCATTTCACACAATAAAAACAAACACCATGTTAATCGCAGCGGTTTACTGTGCCATATCTGAGCAAGCCTGTAGAAATATGGTTATATGGAAGTCAAATCTAGCTTTGATGTTTTTCAAAAACTGGTTGCATTGGTGTTATTTTCATTATACATGTAGACTTTCAAAAATCGGAATCTTCACCCATTCAATGTTAATGTTGGTATTTTTCTTTGTTGGTGATATATTTTGTTCCTTTTTCAGTATTATTCATTGTTTTAAGCAACATGTGGCATGGTTGTGCACAGGTGATGGGGATATATGTGTACTTTTAAAAGAACTGCATGTATAACAGATTTACTAATTTATATCGGGTTTAACACGATGCATGGCATCACTGCAATGCAAGTCGTTGTCTCTATGTTGAAGAATTGTGTGTTTATGCTGCCCTCTCTGGAGAGTTTTTTATAGTCCTAAGGAGTAAACTTTGACTACTGTAAATCATGAAAGAGGAAAGGTTTTTATTAGTATTATTTTATTAAGTCTCTATCCATTTATTTCTTATTCTAATCATGGAAATTGTATGTGCCATCTTTTTTTAAGACATATAAATTTCAATTTCTGAAATTCCTGATAAAGTAAACCTTTTTTTCTTCAAAAGTAAATCATGCCTGGCGATATAGTCAGAATGATTTGAATATCTGTACTTATTTTCTAGCAGTTTTATAATATAAAGTCATCTTCTTATTTCTTGCATTTTAGTAAAAACAGTCAAACTGTAATCGTGGAAACTTGACTCTAGATGTACAAAGATTGAAGTATATATTTCCATATATTACGAGTCAATATTGTTTCACTACGGTTTGTCACATTGCAATAAATGGACATGCTAATACATGTAATGGTGAGCAAAAAGAGTTCTATAACGTGTACACTAAAACTATTGTGCAGATGTAAAGATGTATAAATCATTGATAAGCTGCAAACAAGTAATTTTTCTCTCACTTTCCTGTGATAATTTGTTGCTCATGTTTCCACTGTTATTTCATCCAAGTATTATATGTCGGGATAATATGATATAACCACGTACACGTTAAGTGTATTTTTGTTTTCACTGCGTAATACACCATCAGAAATTATATTGGATGAAATTTGTACAAAAGTTCTAAACTATATATAGAAGATGAGAAATTATGAGATATTGTGTGGTTTTTCCTGTCGATTGATATTGTTTTTATCTTTGTTGTACAGCTGAGGATGTTTGTGGATATGTTTTGGTTAATGTAAACAAATAAACAACTCTGCTGTGACAAAAAAAATTGGAAGTAAAGATGTCTGTTACTTCTTAAATTCATAATCGTGATACATGCAGGTGTGATGCTGGTGTATGATGAAACCTTATGTGGGTATGGATTAAGAAGTGTCTTGACATGACTAGAGACTTTGAATGACCTTCCTGGAAATACTGTGATTTCTCATTGAAAAAGACCCACCATCATTACAAAGATAACCACATAGTGTTAGCAAATGTCATCAAACAGAACTTTCTTAACCAAAAAAAAAGATTTTTTTTTTTTTTCAAAGAGAAAGGAAATTCATCCACTTATCTGTGTCTCTACAAATATTTTAGCTCGTTTTCCTTAAAGAAAAAAAGTTATCCTCTTTTATAAGAGAAATTAATAAACAGTGAGAAATAAAGCACCAATGAACTGAGAAATTCAAGCTCTCCAGTTTGCCAATGAAGCATGTAAATCCATATATATATATATATAGTTTGCATCGCTGAGGTGGTGTTTTAGAGTGCATGTAATTTTCAGTATAAAGTTTTTGTCCTTATGTCCTTTTTTCTTTCTTTTTGCTGGCCCAATTAGCCCGAATACTACAAGACAAAAAATGCAGAATGGTTTTCAAATGTTCTTGAAATAGTCATACATGTATCAACAGAACCAGCGTTTACCTATATGACATAGGTATCTGCTGTATCTTCTGTTTAGTGATCTTTTCCCCCTTTCTATTCTTGAACATATTGGTTAAGATTCCATAGAGCATGCATACTAATCAGAGTCACAACTACACTGAAATTTGACCCATTGTTATACTACTATTGATCAAACTCACCTAAGAGGAAGCCATGCTATGCTGTCGTTTTCTATCCATTATGTTATACATGAATATATCACTTTACTATGATATGTGTTGCCCTATGATTTGGTGAATGAATGAATGGATAAAATTAAGAGCGAATGAAAGAATGAATACCTAATTAAATAAATGAATAGATCAAAAACAAAATCAAGAAATAAAAGCAAATAAGTTAGCAAACAAATTAATTACTTAATTCACCTTTCCCACAAAACTTTAAATTTCAAAACTGCCAAGATCGTCTGTGAATAGAATTAAAATCCCTGATTTACACCTGCTGCTACCTGGCATTTGATTGGATAATGAATCATTCATTTTCTAAGAACAGCCTTGTTCAGAAACCATTGCATTTCCTGTTTACATCACACAGGGCACATGTAGGTAGTCAAAGGATTGCACTGAAGATTTTACAAAATTCTACACAAAGGAAATTTAAATGCATCACTTCTGTTGAAAATGAATAGTGCAGCTTCCCTCATCCCCGCAATATATTTCAAGAGGCCCTATTGTCTAATTAAATGGTTCAGATCTTCATGTAAATAAGCTACCATAATTAAAGATAGTATTAAACAATCTCAGAAGACAAAGAGATGATCAGCATGGACGCATATAATGTTTCGGTCAAGAGATGGGGCTCTTTCATTCTCAATGATAATTCACATCAACCTTCCAAAGTGCATGGAAATTCATATTTTGAAACAGAACTTCAAACGTTGTTAATAGCTCACAAATGTTGACACTTATCAGCACTCACATTGTCAGAGTCTAGAATTATTCTAACAGATGAAACAATTTAAAAGGCAAATGCTTTTATTCAAAGTGAGAGATTTATTTAGATCACAGAATGTCTGTAAAACCACACAGATCAGTATAAACACATTGTACTCAATTTGACAAAAACAGTTTGATCCATTTGATTTTTCCAATAAATCATTCTATTCACAGCAAAAAATAAAAACAAAATGAAGTACAACAAAATTAAAAAGTCTAAAACTGTAAAAAGGAATCTTATTACAGAACCAATATTTCTGTGCATTAACAGCAGAAAATAATAATAAATCTAAAAGACAAAAAAATCTGTAAGCAAACAAAACTTAATCAAAACTGTCTATTGGGTATCCTTTTTTTTTCCAAATTTAAAATCAAGTACATTTATTTTGTCCAACACAAGATCGAAAGATTCTTGTCAAAATTAAAGGTTTGAAGAAATTAGAAATTTGGTCAACAAATCCTATGCAGCTTTTTAGTTAATGTAAACAAGAGAATAGATTGCTAAATCCAATGATGGTTCTTGCTTTACAACTCTGTTGTAACTCTGTTGTTCAGCAATAACAGGCTTGAGAAAATAGACAGGAGTGGATGAAAAATCATGAAATCTAAATCGCAAGGTTGGTAGAACCTTAAACTACATGTTATGATTCTACCAACCGAGGAAAGTTTTCTGTAATTTCATGAAATATTCAAGTACAATGTACTGGCAAAGATATATACATAGCTTATACATATTTTGGCAGTTTAAATGCATATCAGTCAGTAATTGAAGGGTATGCTCAAATAGACATTTGCACATTTCTTAAATTTTGCCCTTCATATGACTTTGACACAGACCAACGAATGAGCTCAAATGTAGACTAAATTAAAGTCAAAGCGAAAATATACAAATTAGGTATAAATGGTGCAAATATATAAATACATTTGAAAGTATAAATGGAAGTTCTTTGGTATAGATTTACAATTGATGAGCATCAAAAGTTATATATATATATATATATATGTTTTTTGTATTAATAACAATACATTATCAATTAGTTTACATGGTCCTCTTTACATTTTTCAAAAAAGCCACAAGCACCCTTTGCAGGGAAAGTGCACCCCGAATCCCTGATATCACATTGGTTCTAATAGAGGCTAACAAATTAGAGAGGTCAGTTCATTAAGTTTGAGCAAACACCAATAAAAAAAAATTAAAAAAATTTGAAGGTGCGATATCTGAAAGTCCAATCAGCAACTCTGTGACGTATCTCGCAAGGTCCCCTCCCATTCGCCCTGTACTGAAAAACTTTATATTTTCCCTTGAATTTTTTAAATTAATGCATATATTTAAAAAAAAATACAACCCCTGTTTGAAACCAGTCTATTCCGTCATCAATAACTAAGAATATGAAAGTTGATTTAATTCGCTGTACAGATCAAATTGGGGAGGAGCTTGCAAGATACGTCACAGTGTTGCCAATTTGTGTTTCACTGATGACAACTTCAAAAATGCATAACTTTCTTTTTCCTAATCAGATATTGCTCAAACATTTACTAGTTAGTTTCTCTCATTTTCTGCTTTGATTAAAACCCAAGATATTATCAGGATGGACTTGCCCCTTAAAATGAACAATAAAACCCATGCAGAGTACAACCATGAATATTCTACCATCAGTAGATAGTACTGGTACTACATATGACGAAGGAACATGAGAAAAAAAGAATAATTGACTCATATAAAAGTATGATGGAACTATAACATATCATTCATTGGGTGGTACTGTTTGCAAGTTATCAAATTCAGTATAAAAAGTACATGTTCATATTACAAATGATTAATATTACAATTTTTATATAGAGAATTATACAAAATGTGTGACTCTTTCAATCAACATGATTCATCATCACAATGAACATTATTTCAGAATAGGTAATCAAATCCACTCTTCAATTCACTATACATGCACATTGCATTGACATACAATTTCTGACACATTCTATAAAAACATTCTACATAGTTTTAAAACTGACTGAAAATAGAAAGATCAGAGAAATTGACATTTTAAGTTTCAGGAATAAAGACAGAATTAAAAAAACCCATGTAATTTCAGTATTGAAATGAGGACAATTTTCATCGGCAATTCAGTGTTGAATGAATTGTGACGTAATATATATGGACTACCTTTTCATGAAAGTGCTTAAAATTATTTTTTGATTCATGGAACCACCATTTTTATTATTGTTGAATCATTAGCAAAACATATCTAGAAGTCCCCCAAGTGACAGTATGTCTGTTCCATACTAAAGGGAAAGAGACAAAGATAATTCTGAGTGATTGTAAGCTAACAATTTCTGAAATAAAACAGAAAACATAACAGGCATATTTCCCTTACTTTTACCAAGCGGATTTGTGAACCTCGTTTACAGTTACTTTGTTAAATAGTGAGTCTTTTTTCCCCACCCATGATCATTCGTTGACTCAAGATCAATTAAACTGCACTTTATTTTAGCACATAAACTGTGTTTGCTGGTCATAATTTTTTTTCTGGAAATTCACGCTATAGTCATTATCTTCAAACTCACAATCTATCTAAACACACACAACACAACAATCCTGCTACACACCACAGCACCAACACAGAAGTGAGCCAAATACTTATCAAATGTTGCATCAATTGCACCAATTACTATTTCATGTACAATTCTTTGTCAAATATGCCTGCAATAAGAGAGATCTGAATGGTCCTTCCTTGACCTGGGAACTTGAATCAATTAAATTATTCCTAGACTAAATCACCTCAATTTCAGTTCAACTATTTCTGATTCTAAAAGTCCTGCCCCTCCCCCTCCAGATAAATCACACTATTAGTGATAGTAATAAGGAGTAATAGTAAAAAAAAAAATTAACAGTAAAAAGGAGTAATAGTAAAAAGGAGTACTAAAGATCAATAGTAAAAAGGAGTAATAGTAAAAAGGAGTACTAAAGATCAATAGTAAAAAGGAGTAATAAGGAGTAATAGTAAAAAGGAGTACTAAAGATCAATAGTAAAAAGGAGTAATAAGGAGTAATAGTAAAAAGGAGTACTAAAGATCAATAGTAAAAAGGAGTAATAAGGAGTAATAGTAAAAAGGAGTACTAAAGATCAATAGTAAAAAGGAGTAATAAGGAGTAATAGCAAAAAGGAGTACTAAAGATCAATAGTAAAAAGGAGTAATAAGGAGTAATAGTAAAAAGGAGTACTAAAGATCAATAGTAAAAAGGAGTAATAAGGAGTAATAGTAAAAAGGAGTAATAAGGAGTAATAGTAAAAAGGAGTACTAAAGATCAATAGTAAAAAGGAGTAATAAGGAGTAATAGTAATAAGGAGTAATAGTAAAAAGGAGTAATAAGGAGTAATAGTAAAAAGGAGTACTAAAGATCAATAGTAAAAAGGAGTAATAGTAAGAAGGAGTAATAAGGAGTAATAGTAAAAAGGAGTAATAAGGAGTTCCAGGCCAATTTTTATTTCGTATTTACTAAGCCCATTGCACATTATCTTCATATATAATCATTAAGTGGATCTATTTACAACTATCAATATTAAGCAGCTATTTTTGTTGAATTGGTTGTATGATAAGTGCTGTTTGATCATTATCATAAAATCAAGATGACCTTTAACCTGTCAAATCTGATTTTATTTTGGTATACCATGCAAAATTGTTAAACATCATATTGGTATGCTATTGAGGTAGAACAACATCATTAGGACATGGAGCTAGTAATGCTCTCCATTACCTTTATCAAACTCAAACAAAAATGGTCATCAAGGAATTTCAAATTACAACTTGTAATGCACAGATGTCACCAATTGTTATGCCGTTTGTGTTCTGGACAAGGCTTTTTATGCCACTACATTTTGCCAAAGCTACCTAAATTACAATGACGATAAGTAGTGAGTGATTGGCATCATACATGGACTGGAATTACACATTTAATGTTGGGGGAGCCATGCCCCTCGTACATGTACATTGCATAACATACACCTGGTAATTATGAGGGAGGTGCCCAACAATGCCCTCATACACTGCATCGAGGGGGCAGGGAGAGTGCCCCAACCATGACCCCCCCCCCCCCCTATATTCTGCATAGTATATACATTTAACCAAAGAGAGAAGAAGCAACTGTTTCAATCATGTATCCTTTCCCGGCCTCCTGATAACAATAGTATTCTTGTTTTAAAACTAAACAGTAATTCAGTGATGCTCTTTAATACTGACCTAAGCCCATGCAATGGACAATATACCACGTGAAAGCTAACATGTCACGTACAGGTTATAATCCAAACAAAGTGGCAGTCCAAAATTTCAATCCATGGTGAATAAAAACAGTAACACCCTTCTGGCTCTCTACATAAGAAATATCAACTGCTTCATCTTCATTCTATATCATCACCTGCAACATTTACTTGTTATTATTTATCCTTCTGCTGCTCTAAGCTGGCTTTACCGTCTCTCCTCTCCGAGGGTTTGGCCTCAAAGAACTCTGGCCAGGTAAGACACCTCCAAGCAATGAGCTGCGGTACCAGCAGAAGAGCCATGTTGATCAGCCAGAAAGCTGAAAGACCATCACTAGGTACGCGGTAGATGTACGGCGTGCGACTGTGAAGGGAAGCCCCAATGTGTGAAAACTGGCCCTGTAAGAGGCAGAGAGAATGAATGAGAATTATGGAAGTTAATACACTGAAAATACATTTCTATTAAAGAAAATACCCTATTTTTCATGCTACAGATTTGAATCAAATTATTGACGAGAATAATCTTGATTGTTATTTTGGTTGAAAACAATATTCACAAATGATTTAACTACTTTCATAACCATGTCAAAATGTTTAATGGTATATTTAATGCCAAGCAAAGGAAATCTGAGGATTGAACCCAGTTGAGATGTGTTTTTAAAAGTGGAACCTTAACCAATGAGTTGATGTCTATAACTTCAAGAATAATAATACTGTGCTACAGATTTTGCAATTTTACCAAAACTCAAGCAATGCTTACATTTTAAATACAGGCACTTCCTTAACCATGTTTGGTATCACAACATTTAGGGTAAAAAGTTGTAGGAAATTTATTACCCTTTCTAATGAAAACAAAAGCTCCTAAAGAATACAACTTCATAAATGAAAATTGTTGTAATTTCCTTTTTAGTCCTTTACGATTCAGTTCCTCATTCATTTACCATTGATTAATGCTAATATTTAAAAATATCCTATTAAAAATGCAATTTTCTCAAAAAATGTCTATAGTGGCATTTTATGGAGACGGGGAAAAAACCTGGATAGGACACATCCCTAAGCTAATTCTTCCTTCTCTGATATCTCTGATATCTCTGCCCCTGCGGGAAAGAAAAAAAAAAGGGGGGGGGGAGAGCTAGCTCTCCCCCCCCCCCTTTTTTTTTTCTTTCCCGCTTGTTCACAACATAATCACTTGACTGTCTTTCTATACCTTGTTTTATTTTATTTTGTATTGCTTTATTTGTCTTCTTCCTTTATTTTTCTTCTTACTTTCCACTCTCGTTAATCATCTTACGGACCTTTTCTCTTTTCTTAATTGGTTTCCTTGCAATTATTCTTTCTTTCCTCACAAGTAGTGGTAAAATAAGCACTGATCCTTATATCTAATTTATATACGTTTGGTTATGCTGAGGAAAGCACAGAACTTTTCCCTTTTTTCTCAATTTTCTACGCTATGTTTAGTAAAATACGTCACTTAAAGATAACCCTCGTATAAACATATGCTTTTGTAAATATCTTACCGGTATGTTTATTCAGATATCCTAATTTATATACAAACCTATTAACTGGACCTTCATAATACAAGCTTTGCTGTTTAGGAGATCCCGACATTATTTAGCTTTTTTTCAATGTATTTATCATACTTATGATTGTATCTTTTGTCATAACTATTACCATGTACATAATATGTGCGATTATGTTATCTTTGATAAAGTGGAAATAAACTTGAAACTTGAAACATGCTCAGTCAGGGGCATCTCATAAGGAAATACAGATGGTAAACAAGAAAGAGGAAGACCAAGAATCTGGGTGGTGTCAGATGACAAATCATTTGACATAATGAAGAAGAAGGTTAAAGAGAAAGGGGATGGAGACAGAACTAAAGAAGACTCTGAGAGAGAGAGAGAGAGAGAGAGAGAGAGAGAGAGAGAGAGAGAGAGAGAGGATATTTAGAATGCCTTGATTTATGCTCTAAACAGTGATATAACCTGAGCACCATGCACCTACAGAACACAGCAAAAGTTTAAGCGGTCACGGAGCCATACAAAGAGTAAACTCTATGCTAAGTCACCTGAGCTGATGCCCCAGCACTCAACAATGCCCAGTCCGACATCCATGTACAGCCGGGCTTGAAGAAGCCGTAGATTGCACACACAAAGTAAGGTACAAAGTAGAACCAGTATACTAATGCCTGCAAGGAAAAACAAACAAATAATATATAATTTCCTCTCAAGTTTTGAAGGTTAGACCATCTTTTTCAAACACACATGCAAGTTTCAATTACAAAAAATACATATATATATTTTTAAAGACAAAAATAAAAACAAAAGCACAAACAATAACAAAACAAGCAAGAGACGACAACAACAAAAAAACATTATAAAAGGATAAAAGGAATGAGTGGCAGCAAACTGGTAAATTTAAAGCTATCCATCAAACAAAGGGAAGAAAAAAATCACAAATGAAAAAGGACAATATTCACCCTTCTATATTATGAGAACATGATGCATAATACTTCACATCCTATTTTTTGGTTCCCATAAACCTATAGTGCAGTGCTTATTTGTGAGTCTTTATATACAGGAACATATCTCTGAACAAGATTATATACAAATATTTTGTAGCTGATATTTAAAGGAAAATGTTGACATCCAACATGATTATTAAAATGGCAGTTCATATTACATGTATCAGTGTATTGAAAGAGATGATTCATACTGCAAAGTAAAAAAGTTAGTAAAACCCCCCTCATCAGAGCAAGTTAAAATCAGACAATATAAGCTGAAGCTAACAGGACATACAAGCATGCACAAAAATAACAGCTGTAATTGCCTAATGGAAAGAAGACGTAAAGCTTTCCGTTTAATGCCCATGGGCTTTAACAATGCAAGCTTCAGCTTATATTGTCTGATTTCTACTTGTGTTATTCTAGCTGGCATTGTCTCAGCCCATGGTCATTAAACAGGTAGCTTTACGTCTACTTTCCGGAAGCCAATTACAGCCCATTAATTTTCTGTGTGCTTGTTCCTTTAGCTTCTACTTATATTGTCTGATTTCGGCTTTCTGTTCATTGCTGCGAATTACTCTGATGAGGGCAAGACTCAAAAGCTTTAGTGTGTCTGTTTTTCAATGCTAACTTGTTATTAATGTATTTCAAATTATTGCATAAGTTTACATTCTAAATAAAATAATAACAAAATAACCACTTCAATGATCTATCTTATCAGCTAAACATATTTGTTGTTACTTATAAAACAAAGGCATGAGGATATCAGATTTGCCATGACTAATATACTTGCTGGTATGTTGGTAGGATTCAATTTTGTAAAACTGGAGTGCAAGATACAAATGGAAATGTTCTGCATCGCCCTCACAGTCTACTAACTGTATGAATTAAAGACCGTCAATACTACCGGGCCAGAAGGGATAAGACCACACAGCGAGGTCACTGACAGGTGGTTATCTCATTAACTCAGCTCTCAACTAACATAAGAAAAAGAGGATCATGGGGGACCAACAGGCACCAATTGGGGAAGTTTTCTATATAGAGGGAGCAAGTAGCTACAAGTAGGACAGTGGGGCTTTAAACAAGTATAATGATGTGTAACCCTATTCTTGCTCATATTTACTGATACATTTACTTGTATGGACTTACTTGAATCATAGGATACAAGACTGGATCTTGGAAGTATGGCTCAACATTATTGAGGTAGTAGACAGCGATGGAAGCTGGGCTCTTCAAAGCAACCTGTAACATAGAAAACCATGAATGAGCAAATGTTTAACAATGAACCAACAGTATTTTCTGTCATCTTTCATTGTGCTGCACTGCACAGAAAAAAGGCATGTTTTCAAGGTATTTTTACGGCACTATTTCAGAGACTGAACTAGCAGGTCATAATTCACTGTAATGACTTTGAAAGAAATTTAAACATACATTGGAAGGGTGGGTACAAAGAGGAAACGATAAATTCAATCCAATCCAAGATATTTGATATAGCGCCTTTTCCTGGCAGTTACAAAGCGCTGAAACTATAATCACATATAATTTCCCTCCAGTTTAAAAGCTGCTCCATCAGGAGATGTCATTCAGCCATTAAAAAGGGGTGCGTCTCATACACAGAGATTTACGGGTATATATTGGCAATTTTTTGTAGAAACTGCCAATATATATATGTATATATTATATGCTTAATTGAGCCTTTAGATACTTACAGCCATCCGTAGGAAAGAGATCAAGATGGCACAGAAGAGAAAGAGAACAAAGAACAGATCCAGAGGCCTCTTCCAGATACTCTTTTTATGTGCAGCTACCACCTGAATGGAAGAAAGAAGAAAATAAATGCTGAGCAACAAATTATATTGTAAACTGGTCACCAAAGATGCACAGGATACTTTTATACCTTCAATAAAAAATAAAGCACAAGGCTGAAAAAGATATTTTTGTATGTATTTTCGTATAAATGAACAGTTCTCATTACAAAAATTTGATGAAGCAGCCTATTCCAAATAATTCAATTTGTTGGTATGTTTATTGCCAGTTCCCAATCCTATTCTAGCTCATCCTGAATCAATCCGAACTGCTGATATAAATATGGGTTGCAAAGCAGTTCGCCCCATGGGGTTGTTGTTGCCAGCTGCTAGCTAGCTACTGTACTGGCCGGGTCTCTCGGCAGGATTAATAAATCAGGTTGAAAGAAACATTAATGTTTGAATAATAAAACGGCTTTCTAAAACATAATAATTTTTAAAAGACAAAATAGATATTTTTTCTTTGATTTTGAACACCGCATGCTTCTTTTAAAAGCTGAAAATTACTTTTTATAGAGGCAAGTGACAAATCCTGCGAGCTGATTTCGGTGCAAGGCCGTCGGGACCTGGTTTATGAAAATCCTGACATGACTCAGGCCTAGTTAATAAGCAAAACATTAATAAACTGTATAGATATGTTCTGTGGGTTTTGCACATGAAATCTTGATTCTTACATGTAAAATCTAAAACACCTTTCTGTTCATGCTTGCGATTTACTCTGATGAAAGCAAGACAAAAAAGCTTTAGGGCAATTCCACGGTAACGGAAGGACACTCAGACAAGATTTTTGAACTTCAGGTTCATACTAAAAGAACTGTTTTATTAGTATAAGATGTGAAACAGTACAGATATAATACCTATATAAGTGCCTTTAATTCTCCCCAAAAAAATTGTCATTATAGTTAAGTAGTTTAAGAATGTGCATATTAATTATCTCGGTAACGGAAGGACATAAAAATGGACATGGTTTTTCCAGTTAATTAGTGTTTATCCAAACTTTGTGAAGTTGATGAAGCTTTCCACTTGACTGAAACACATTTTGTTCCCCATAGTTTAATACATACTAATAAACATTTCTTTTAGTATGAACCTGAAGTTCAAAAATCTTGTCTGAGTGTCCTTCCGTTACCGTGGAATTGCCCTTTATCATGTCTGTATTAATTGCTTTTCTTCAATTTTCAGGGATGCCAGTTAGAATTAATCTGAGGGCCTGAAAATCACCTAGAATGAGCTATTTTGTACACAAAAAAAGCCTAAAGTATGGCCTCAAAATAACTCGCCAGGGTCTGAATTCAGGCTTTTGCCTGAAAACTGGCATCCCTCAATTTTGTATACCAACAATCTCTTTAGATACTCACATCCCTGCTTTCGACATCAGTTTGTGGGCTCTGACGTACACACTTTATAGCAACCAGGACAGGGAAGAGGACATAAGGGACGTTGAGGAAGTAAGAACCCTTCACGTTAGAACCGTACTTCCCAGAGACATTGCCTGGCATGAAGACTATCATACTGTTTAAGATGGATCCTGCCCAGTAAAGACCAACTTCTCGGTAGCTTTGACTATAAAGAGAAGGGGATATAGGAGAGAAAAGAAATATATTATTGATGGCAAATATTTAAAAGCATTCTTTGAAGTTTCACGAGTGTACAATATAAAATGGATTTTGAGTCTGTAAATTTCTAGCTGGAATGCTCCCAAGGGAGTGGAGAATGAGCACTGTAATGTGTAGAATAAAAATTGAATTCAGTGACCAGGGTAATAATAATCCTGCAAGCACTTTTGTCACTAAACGCTAAAACAGTTTATAAGAAACAGGATTGATTATCATTAGGTAATTAGGTAATTAATTATAAATCAATTAAGGTAATATGGTGGTGGTTGGCTGGTACTTTACTTAAAGAGGCTTGGGCACCATGCTATGATACAGAAATGTTTAGCGTATTACTGAATGTCATTATTAAACAAGAATGCCTCGGTTTACAACATCATTGAATGAGGCTAATTATTGTATCGCCTTGAGTGACATTTTTGTCAGACAGTGCACTATAAAATTCTATACTATATCATTATTAATTATAACTTAAGCTTACCCCCATACAATAGCAGTAACCATCATAAGATACATGCAGTAATGACCTGATCCATCCCAGTAGTTGATCATAGTCCCATGTGCTGTATTCAGGTATGGCTCCCCCTATAAGCAATCCAAACATTTCACAGGAAAATGCATGAAGCAGTGATTTACGTTGATGGGTTGATTGACATAACTTTTCCTTGTGATTTTGGGGCCTATCAACTTAGAATCACCCTTTACAAACATTTATAAGACCAGTAGTTACTTGTTTTTATTATGTATGGGATAGATTTAATGATTGGTCAGAGTGCATGTCTGAAGATTTACAAAAATAAATATATGTGCAATGGCTCAAAACAACAATTTCCTATAAATCACTTTTAAAACTGTTTAAATATTGTGTTATAGTAAATTTTCAACTGTAAGTTCCCAAGGCATTAACTACATTAAGGTTTTTGCTTCATGGATTTTTCACAATAGAAAGCAATATACAGTACATGCATTTATGGCTTGCTTCTCAAATTTAAAAGAATATTTAAACCAAGCCATACCAGCCTATCCCGTTTATGACTGATCGAGTATCCATATCCATGCGTGAGGCTAACACAGTCATCCTTATGGTTGATCTACAAGGATATACCTGCATCTTTGCTTTCATGCAATGCACGACTAGCAACTTATAGCATTATAGTTAGGGAAATGTAAGCTTTAAAATACAATATTTCCATTCAATGATGGTGGGCATTTACATATTAAAGCAGTACTAAAAATAGAGGTGATTATGAATATCAAGGAACATCCAGGTTTCTCAAAATCAATAGATATCCCTTGAGTTATGAAAAAATGCAGTTTTATTGACTAAAAAAGCCAATCCTGACAGAAAAATTACACATTTTGTCTTACACACATGTACAGTATGTGCCCATTGGACCAAAGTTCACCAAACCCTCCCCCATTATAAAAATGCACGATGCCCCTTACTTTGAAATATCAATAGACTGCCAGCTTTGCTCTTTAAAAAAGTTGCAGTTTCCAAAAATGCTAAAATCACTGTTCATACCAATTGCCCTTTTCACCCTCAACTTTGGCAGTTTCTCCATGATCCTTTATTTTATGATGATGGCAATATAATTGCCCCCATGGCCCCATTATTAACAGAATCACATGACAATAATCTTCTCATTCGGTTTTAAATCTTAGGTTTCCTTCAGGTAATTTTTGTCCTGTTCTCAAGTGATACTAATGTTTTTCGAGCATCTTCACTTTTTCACTCAAATCTGGCACAAATGGATTACGATTTTATTTTCGACATGCCATTTTCAAAACAATGTTGCTCAGTGAAGCCTGTATTGATTAAGTTATCAATGTATCATTTTAAAGCATATATATATATATATATATATATATATATATACACCGTACATGTACATGTATATAACGTCTATTTTATGAAAAGCAAGAAATCCTATTCATACAGCTTTGTTCACAATATCTGTTTATTTTCGGGCTTTTTTTCTTCTTTCTGGGACGCACTGTATTATTGATGGTAAATTCCCATTTCAATTTGTTTTTTAAAGGCTGAGAGTAACTTTCATCTCTCCAATTTAATATGTAAGATGAAGAAATACATACAATGTCCATGTAAGACAGAAAATTGAAAGAAGTCAAAGTGCAATTGTCAATAAGCCTATGTATTCATGCTGTTCTCCCACAAGTGTGTCTAAATTACACCTTATACAACCACAGTACAGCATGCTGGCTGTATACACTTCTTTCCCTTTAGATTCCATTGCAATCTATGAATGTCAACATCTCAGAGTTATTCAATGATTAACTTACCTCTTTGAGATACGATGCCATGAAGTTATCAATTATACCATCCAACTCCATCGCTAGAACAATGTCCACCACGCTTGTGAAAGCAAATACAGCAAACACTACAATACAAAAAAATGTTGGATAATTAGGTCATTTCAGGAATGGAAACCTATTAAAGGCATCCAGGACACAAAATTGAAACCCGAAGTAAAAAATGTTAAAAACTTATAGGTTTAATGCAAGGGCAGGTCCAAGCTATTGTCCCCTCTGGGGGTCAAATTTCATCTTTATATATATTTAACAAACTATACCTCATTTTAAAGCTGAAACTATGAATTTTATGAATCTGATAAAAAATTAAAAAAATTATCAAAATACGAAGAGTGCCAAGGTCACGAACTTCAATTTGTATTAATTAGCGTGACGTACGGGACATTACATTTTTATTTTTGTATCTCATTTGAATTTTTTGTTTAAAATTAAATATCTCAGGACATGAAGACCATCATGCTAGAAAATAGGAAAAAAATATAAAAACTTTCAAAATTAATTAATTATGCAAATGAGGTAGGTTCCAAAGTGTGATGTCCCGTACGTCACAATTTGATCATAATTTGTTTAATTTTAATTATGAAAATAATTTTTTTTTTAAAAGATATTCTAGGAAGTTCTAATTTAGATGAATACCTAACAAAAAATAGGTTTAACAAAAATTTCAAAAATTCTGTGTTGATTACATAATCAAATTAAGAAATGTGACGTACGGGACAAGTGTGTGACGTACGGGACAACCCCATATAAAACCAATGCGAGATGTGAAAAAGGAAATGACCAAAAGGAGAATATATACTGTGCTAGGAAACTTGTTGTATACAGGGATATACATGTATGAACATTCCAACTGGGTCCCTTCTAGGAATTAACTTGTTTGTACTTTTGTTGTTGTTTTATGTAATTGTTGTTAATGTAATTAGTCTTCAAGCCAGACCCCTGGTATTATCAACTTTGGTATTTTGCCAGTTGATGTCTCCCAACATTGGCAGGATGCTAAATATGTAAATCATAGTAGTGTACTAGCTCCTGGAATGAGTCTAATGAAATTATATGGTAGTGGATGCACCAGAAGCTGGCTTTTACAACTCATAGTTGCTGCAGGTAAGAATAGCACATGTATGCTATCAAGCTCTCCATGTGAGGTTTTTTAATATTCTATATAAATGTCATATATAATGGTAAAGGATTACAGCATGCACTGTACATGTTATGGAGCCAGCTCTGGAATTCTGATCTCCTAAAAACTAAATCATAACTTTTAAGGAAGGATAGCCTTTTTATTTTCACACTCTCACCCACTTAAGATTTTTATCACTTTTACACCCATGCATTTTTGTTGATTTTGCTTTAAATTAATCTTTTGAATTGTGGAAAAGATCACACAAACCTTTATAGTTTTAATTGCTTGTATCTGGTGGTGTTAATAAGATGTTTTAATCAATACAAAATACATTCAAGATTTATATTTTTGTATCCATCTTTCACAAACATGTAGGCTACATTAATGTACATCAAAATTCTTGAATATATGACAGCAACATATACAAGTTCTAATCTGTGATAAAAGGATATAAAAAAAGACAATATGTCCAGCATTATTTTTGAATTCCTTCCAAATTCTATGATATTACTATCAAATAATTCAAACAAGCTATGAAGAAAAGACTTCATATTTTTAATGTATCTTTGTTCACAAACACTTAGAACATAAGAAATGTTCTTTGACAAAATATGATATGCCGAATGTGCCCCTGTGTTTCAAACAAGTTTGAATAAAAGTTTTCAAGTTCAAGTTCATCTTCTTCATTAATTATTGTTTAAAAACATTTTGCAAATTTGAATGGAATGGATAAAAGAAATGAGAAAAGAAGCATGACTGCACATGATAGATGGGTAAATGGAATAAAAATGGTAATATAGTGTGTATGAATATTAATTCAATTTGTTTTCTTTGTTAAAGTAATATTTGTATTGATTTACCTCATAAATTAACACAGATGATAATAAGTGATGGTCAGAGGATCTAATTGGGTTCTAAAACACTCTAATTGTCACTGATTTCAGTTAAAATTGTTCACATTTAACAAATTTTGACGAAAATTCTCCATTTCAATGCATTTTCCCATAGGGAAAAGTTGTCCCGTACGTCACGTGTCCCGTACGTCACATGCACACATTTATGTTTTGGTATATTACATAACAACGAAAGGTCAGAAAAATATGGTGATAGTTGTGATTAATGCTTGATTCCATAATGAATTAAGATATCATTACCATAAATCTCATAACTTAATAAATTCAGAGAACTTTTATGATGAACTTATTTTTGAAAAAGTCAGAAATTCTCTGGTCCCGTACGTCACGCAGCACATTAATTACATTAAAAATTAATTTATGAATTGGTCAGAACTAAAACTTTCCACAAATGAACTAGCCCATAATAGCCACAGACTCATACCAAAAGATAGTCATATAAATAATGTCATCCATTGTTATTTCTTGTTTAAAGTCTCTGAATGTCCCGTACGTCACAAAGCAAATAGCTTGGACCTGCCCGCAAACAAACCATATAAAGCTCAATCTGGTCCCCCCTTAGAAAAGAATTGTGGGGCCCTGGATAAATTGATACAGCTGCAGAGTTTTTCAGAGGTTATAATGTACTTACAATGTTTTTATTTTAAAATCATCTTTCCCCTCAGTTCTTTTTCCATGGGTATTTCTATAGACTATGTTCAATTGTCCCAGGCATCAAATATGATACACAGAACTCGACAGAAGCAGTGAGCGCTTTGCCTCTCGAAAGGGTTAACTGGGGAAAAAACTATTTGATGGATCATATTTTGGAATAAATCAGCTTTAAACCCCCGTGCGTGAAGTTAGGTGCATTGTTTTTATAGATGCAGCGCGCACGCACGATCGGACATCAAATTTTTAGATCGCGATATCTCCAAAATCCTTTGACTATAAATTTTCTAGTTGAACCAATTGGTATTAAAATACATTGCCGTCCATTTGACATTAATTAAAATAAATAATTTGTGTAGAATATGAGGAAACATGGATCGAATATCACATTTTTTAATATGTTCTAAAATCTTTGCGAACTTTGGTCACCCCTTCATACTACTACTAGACCCAAAGCTTCAGTCTCTGATATCGACGGTTGTTCCGCCGAGATTACATCTGGCTCCTCTGACCGCCTCTAGGCTTATCTATAGGCCTAGCTCCCTATGTTACATAATGTTGACAAATCAAATGTCAGTTTTATTAAAGAATGACTCATACCAGATCAGATGGTTATTTCTGCTACAATGCACAGCCACAAGTTTCACAACACCAAAATAGAAGTGCTAGAAGTAATAACCTCTTGACTGTTTCACTAAGATAGTAAGTTCAAATTAGCATTAGGCTTTGATTTACTTACCATAGAAAAAAGGATCTGACACTTTCTGTGAGCCCCTGGAAAGCCGCACAATCAGGTAGCTCATCAGGGCTACGGAGGCCAACATGCCGTAACCCACGGCGAGGACTTCACCCTCTTCCCGGTTCTCCAGCAGAGCGTTAAGCAGATAAGTGACGGGAATCGCCGTCAGGGAGAGGGCAAAAACACCTGTCGCCATCGCCATTATGATTGATTGATTAAATTGATTAAAATAAGATTCACTGATTATCACCGCATTAGAATGTCGAATCTCTTAAGCTCAAAAAGAGATACCTCAGGTCAAAATTTGATGGGTACCTAGATCTACTACCACTAGAGTCTGATCAGGGCAGTACAGGCGCTGGCCTACAGCAACCCTCGTCTTACGTCTAGTCTTGGAGTCGAGTGAGTGCAGTTGCAAGTTAAGTGCAGTGGCGGGCGTCGCGTCGCGATCCCGATCGACTATCGAGGTACGCCTTGAGCGTCAGCACCACTGACCTCTAGGTGTAGAGGTCAGTGGTCAGCACGCGTGCTGCGCTGGCGGGCAGTCTAGAGTGGGAAAAAAAAAGGGGGGGGGTGGGTGGTGGGTGCAGATCTCCCGCCCCATCTTACATTGTAACGGATTGAAATCAATAACCACAAAAAAAATGGTCATTTAATTGTTAAAGGTGTATTTATTTCAAACAATTCCAAGCAAAAACACACAACAAAAAATAAACAAAAAATAACCATGGGTCGTGGAGCGTTTTCTAATTTTTTGGGGGGAGGGGCATGCACCAACAAAAAAGGGCACTTTCCGGAAGAAAAAGAAAGTGCACCTACAAAGGGAATCCTCATAAGGAAAATGTAGATCTACATCACCTTTTAGACATTGGTATAAACTCCTACATTGTGGTATTACATTACCAGGGACGATTTCAATATTTTACATCATAGTTTACAATTGGGGATGTGATGGTCTTACATTTGCGAGAAAGTAAGGCTATCAGCAAAAATTTAAAGATTTGTGAGATCATTGCAACCAATTAATTAGATCTTATACAGAGGAAAAATCATGATGGTGTTTTATGCATAATCTTAGAATGAAAGAAAAGACCTTGGATAAATAACACTAATTACATCAACTATAAATGCGAGCAGGCATAGCAAGGGAGCTTTTGGGGGGAAATTGTGGAAAAAGTTGCTCTTGGTCGCTTTAAATTAGGAACACATATTATGGAGAAAGGGAAAGGGGCACTATCAGAAGGAAAAATTACTTTTATTAGAAAAGAAAAGGTACATGTGTCAAAGTTAAAAAGGACAATTATAAGAGGTATTCCCAAAAGGGGCATGTCTCGCAAATTCAAAGGCTCAATTTCAGAAACAACAGTTTCTGAAAGAGCTCATATGAAGCAACTAAATCAAGCAAAAAGGGCCATGTATCGTCTACTTGCTAGGAATTATCACCTTGAGTCAAATATAGATATTCAAATTGAATTATTTGACCAACTAATATTACCATACTCCTCTATGCAGTGGCGTACCTGGGGTACTCCGTCAGGGGGGGGGGGGGCAAGCGACCGAAACAAACAAAAAAGGCGATGCTAATTTTCACTTCTGGCGAGCGAGCAAAAAAAAAATCTTTAAGTAACGTGGGGAACATTCACTTGTTAGCGACGTTAATTTCATTTTTTTTTGCAAACGAGCGTAGCGAGCAAGAAAAAAATCACTTCTTTTTTAATAATTGCCACTTAAACTTGGTTCAATTGTCCCATGCAGGGCGCGGGAACAATATTGTGTTTAGGGTGATTTTATACCCATTTTAGCTAGCGAGCGAAAATACATCTTTCAATGAATTGCTATATAAAATTTGTTTCATTGTTGCAGGTCGGGGGCGGGCACAATCGTGTTTAAGGCAATGTCAATTCCATTTTGGCGGGCAGGCAACCCCCTACATTTATCTTTTTAATGATGTTGTAGCAGGTTAGTGGTGGGCACATAATTCCACGAGCTAGCGAGCGAAAAAAATCACTTCTCTTTTATAGGGAAAATATGGTACATAAAAGTTGGGTTCATTGTTCCATGTCAGGGACGTGATTATTAAGCGGTGTTATTTCTATTTTGGCGAGCGAGCGAGCAAAAAAAATCACTTCTCTTTTATAGGGAAATAACTTGGGTTCATTGTTCCATGTCAGGGATGTGATAATTAAAAGCGGTGTTATTTCTATTTTGGCGAGCGAGCGTAGCAAGCGAGCAAATTTTTTGTAATGATAATTGGTTCATAAATTTCAGATTTCAGGTTGGGGCGGGCACGTTAGCGGTGTCAATTCCATTTTGGTGAGCGAGCATAGCGAGCAAGCAAAGGGGGGGGGGGGGGGGGGGGGTAAGCAGACACTTTTTTTTTGTTTTTGTTTGGTCTCGAAATTTGAAAATTTGACCTTATGTTCCGTTGGGGGGGGGGGGGTAAGGTCACAGCCTTTGGCATTTTTTTTTTTTTTATAAAAAAAAAAAGGAAGGGGGGGGGGTTTTCCCAAAAAACATACACAAAACATACACATAAAAAAAAACTCAATTGGGGGTTCAACCCCAAACCCCCCCTCCCCCCCTGCGTATGCGCCTGTGGCCTACACTACATTTTCAGGAAAAAAAACTGTACGTTTTCAAAATATCTGGGGTCAACTGCCCCCCCCCCCCTGGTGCGTACGGCCATGGCCTTTTAATTTCCCCAATTTTTTTCCTTTCCTTTTCTTTCCCTTTTTCTTCCTTTTCTCTTCCCTTTTTCTTCCTTTTCTCTTCTTCTTCCTTTTTTTCTTTCCTTTTCCTTTTTTCTCTTTCTTTCCTTTTTTCTTCCCCTTTTCCTTTTTTCTTTTTCTTTCCTTTCCTTTCTTTTCTTTTCTTTCCCCTTTTTCATTTTTTCCCCTGCCCCCCCCCCCATAGGTATGCCAGTGCCTCTATGTGTCTGAAGTATAGGGATTCAATGTGATCTGAGATTTGGAAATCTTTCATATAAAATGTTAAAAAAATTGGGAGTCAATAAATCAACAGCAAATTTATAGTTTAAGATGAACTTGGAAGATTCCAGGGGAAGATTCAACTAAGAGAAATATCTTGAACATAGAATCATAAACTGATGGTGTAGATTAGTTCACAGTAGTCAACAAAAATGTCTGGTATGATAAAGAAAATTTTCTAGATACTTTAAGACCAAGATTTAAACTTGGCACATTGGTTGAAGAAATAGAAAATTCTTGACAAGTTGGGCATGTCAAATTTGTTGGAAATTTGTATAGAAACTGGATAAAACAAACAAAAGATCAAGGAACACAAGATTCTCAAATCCAAAATTGTTTTTCATCAATAAATGAAAACCAACAATGTATAAATAATAGAATATTTAAAAACAATCTTTGCCAAGAAAGTTACCTTACCGAGTAAGATTTAAAAAAGATTGAATTGCTTTTTGTAAATTTGGTTATGGAAAGCAAAAATGCTATTTCAAGGGGGGGGGGGGGTGGTCTTCATAGACAGGTTATCGCTAAAGAAGGGTTGACTCATGATGAGTGAGAAGATGAGAGATACAAAGAGTCAGGTAAAACAAGTTCAAATGTACAGGAACAGAGATGTTTCATACGTTTTTGTTTAATACCTGATAATCATGAACATGTATCATTGGCATTTCTTACATCAAGAAAGTGTGATATGTATTAAGACAAAATAAGTAATAATCATGAAAGACTTTATAAGGCACTGCCTCTGGTTGCAAACAGAACGTTAAACACTCTTTCCATGAAGCATCATTATGGAAGACTTCAACTCTGTTATATCCTCATATCTAAAAGTCGACAAAAATATCAGCTGTGGTATTGTTATAATTAGGACCGAGGAGATAAGAGGATTTAATCAGATTTTTTGGTGGGGAAGGTTTGAATAGCTTACCCGGGGCAAAATGACCCTCCTTGCGATGTTAAGTTCATTTTGGCCATTTTTTGGCCCAAAGTGACCTCTACCAGTATGTCACTTTTGGTCAGGGATAATTTGTCCAATCATTGTTATCAGTTAATGAGAAAATAATAATAAAAACGTTCCCTGATGCTAGAAAATGAGGTTTCTGTCACTTTCCATCCAAATTCAGGGCAATTTTTCAATCGATGGTCAACTTTGACATCCAAATTCAATATAGAAATGTACACTTATATCAGAACAATCAGTCTCATTGAAGGAATGTACACGGTTCGGACCACTTTTGTCATTGTGATCGGTGCCTATTCTTTTACTGTGCTGCATTGGTTGAAAGATGTCAACCCGCGAGCTAAAAAAAATGGCCTGTTGTGGCTTGCCGGTGGGGGCGCTGTTAATTGTGAATCCATCCTATTGTTAAACCCTTTAATATGATGTCATTTATTTCCTATAGGTTCCATCCACAGAGAAACTCTCTAGAACTAGCAATTTAAAAAAGGCTGAAGAGTGAAAGCATTTTCAACATCTTGCACCTCACTCTATGTTCCTGGATTGAATAATGTAAAGGAGGCATAAGTACAGCAAGTTATCATTATGAAAACATTTTCACTCCTTAAATGGTGAACATATTCATATTTAAAGTCTAAATCCATACCAAGTTATCATCAGCCTCATAGCATTCAACAATTTAAGATATTCAAAATTTATGCATTACACTACCTGTTAATCATTACATTTTCATCACCTTTCTCCAGTCAACATTTGTGCAAACGTTAGAAAAAACAAATCATTTTTTCAAGCAAATATATTTCTACAACAAAATATGCAACATCATTCTACAACTTTGACATCAGCCTAGAAGAAAATATATATCAATGTTTTGAAAGTAGCATGAACACAGTGAAAACACTTACAACATGATTATGTTTAACAGGTAGGACATCAAAAGTTCTTATTCCATTTACTTGAAAGCAATGACCATGAAGTTGCTTAACAAAAAGTAGCGCCACAAAAAGATGTGTCTGCAATGTAAACTGCATAAATGTTGAAAATTATAATCATATCACACAGAGGTAGAACAACATTGTAAGGACATGGAGCGGGTAAATTCATCATATACCATCTCAGTGAGGCTTCATTTTAGCTCAACTTTCCTTCAGATATGTCCCCAAAAAAGAACTTTGAATCAATCAACACCAATGACAACTTTGCATTATTCATTCCTTACGCATCTTTTCATTGCTACCACATTTCGCAAAGGTACCGGGTATCAAAACTTATATTGCTGCATGCAATTGAAAAACAAAGTGATGAGCTGTTTGTTTAGTACTGTTGGTAATATATATGGTAACTAGATGGAACTTCGACTGTGGCAGTCAAAACTAATGCCTCTGCCATAGAGCGAATTTACAAACCAAAACAGCAATTTTTTAAATTCAGGTTTGATTGTAACCCTTTAACAGGTTCTCAGAATATCGTGATTACAAGCTATTTTTCATATACATATACATATATACATATACGGAAAACCTGAAAACATAATGTCTCCGGCTACTTCGTAACGGAGGCATAAAAACACTATAGTTGAAAATATAATGATAACTGTTCGAATCATGAAATCTCATTGCAAGGTCTCATTATTTCAAAACAATATATATATCTGAAAAAAGAAGGAAATATCTAAGAAAATATACTTTTCAAGGTTTTCAAAGAGAATGATTTGTAAAAAGGAATAATGAAACCTTCATAATTTCATGAAAACAGCAGCTGGAGAACTGCTCAATTTCAACCGATAGATTGGTCATTGGGGCAATCCAAGTTACTTTGGGCGCGTTCATGCTTGATTTTGACGGCCAGAATCAGGCATCTGTTACGCGTTTAGTTCGAAACACGCTTGCGTTCATGCTCACTTTTGTAGAATCACCGAAAAACGGCGATCACGATCGCCGATCGTAAACTCACAAAAAGATGCGTTTACAATTTGTAAACGCGTTTAAATGGGGTCAACGCACTGACCTCTAGTGGGTCTACGTAGCATGTACAGTGAAGGTTTGTGAATCCAGCTGGAAGACCAATTAAGGCCACACACTGAGAATTGCCTGGGGGAGCCAGAGAAGTAAGCATGAACAGTGCATCGTGGAACTGCGATCACGATGAGCGTTTACGATGAGCGTTTCAGAATGCTCATTCTGCCTTCAAAATTTAAGCATGAACGCAGCCTAAAAGGCTTACACTTCCTCACCTTCTTTCTTATTTAACCCCCACCAAATTCTTTCTTTCCCTCTCTCTCTCTCTCTCTTTCCCTCTCTCTCTCTCTCTGCATCTAGCCTCTCCCTTCTCTATACTCTATATCTGTTTCTATACTCACATTATGTGATTTCTTATTTTTACTATCATTTTAAGTTTAAAAAACTCCTAGTGACTTAGTATCAATTATTTTAGTTGAAATCTATACATGTTACTCACTCTCTCTCTCTCTCTCTCTCTCTCTTTTCTTATTTTTACTATTCACATGTATCTTTCTCTCTCTCTTTCAAACCCTCTCTAACTTGTACTCTATTTACCAGTAATCCATTTCTATCTTTCTCTCATTCTCCCTCTCCTTCTCTACATCTATTTTTTCTCTTCAGCCTCACACTCCTTCACGATGGCCAGGTAGTCATCAACATCGAACGTGGATCCCATGACGACCGGGGTCTTTTGATGAATATCTGACGGTATGATGTCTAAGATCCTCTCCTTTCCTGTAGTAGCCTTCCCGCCAGCTTGTTCACAGATAAAGGCCATTGGGGCTCCCTCGTATAGGAGACGCAGCTATGGTGAATGAAAAAGAACAAGACAAATGTGATAAGATCGTCTTTATATGATATTACATGATCACACCAGGTTTCAAGCTCGTACCTCTAGTGAATTTCTTGATATTGCAATAGTGAGGCTAAAATCTGCAGTTTCAGATATTGACCTCTATGACATTTGACCTACTTACCCCACAATCTAATCAAATTGTCTTACTATGGTGATACACACTATTTAATTTGGGTCAATGCTCAAATAATGGGTCTTTGGGCCATATCTTTTGGTATCTGGCAGCCCCTAAGCAGCAAAAAAATGGTTTCAAGTGGTACCTCATCTGCAGAGGTGCCCATCAGACGTCCATATCTGTGTATACTAGGTTCCTCCCCAAATGTTATAATACTCAGATATTGGTAACTTGTTTGTTTGATCAAAATGCACAAGACTGCCGGGTTATAATTCCTTCGGCACCAAGTTTGGTGGGCGTAGGCATAAAAAGGGTTGATTAAACATGTCCATAAAGGAGAATAATTGATTCTTGTAATCAATATAATTGTGTCCGAGCATCAAGCCTATATCTGGTTTCTGATTTCCAAATATATTTTGTGAGGTAATACATCATTAGCTGTGCAGCTGTTGCCAGTTGGGAACCAAACTGCAAAAATATGAATACAAGCATGTAGCATATTGTACTACAGTATATACAGATATAACAAATTCTGAATACCAATTAGAAACCACTCAGTATTAATAGACCATTTTGGTATGTCAATAAAGTTAAATGCATTTATAAACCTTTGGTAGGTGCCATGTTAAAATCATTTCATTCACATGTTATGAATAATTGTATTTCAATATTCAGAATGTAAATTGCATATATTAAAGATAAAGGTGAGTTCTGGTAATGCGATTGCATTGTGAAAGAAAAGGTTTGGAATGGATCAGAAACAGTTGATCATGTAGCATGTAAGTATTGGTGTGCACTGCAAGGTTCTGGAGTCATCAAAATCATCATAAATTTGGCCGAGTCTTGATAAAGTAACAAGCACTGTACACAGAAAGCTATATATGGGACAACACACATGGTGTCGAGGATAGTACCTTGATTTCCTTGTCTTTCTATGCTTATTACTCAGCCAGTATACCTTTTCTTCCAAAATTGTTTGGCACATGTCATTTATTTGTAATCTTGAACATTCAGTGTAAGTTTTGTTTGATTCTGTGAGAATTAATTTTCTTTTTTTACCAGAACTGGAGTTTATCTTTAATTTTTGTAAGAACAAACATTATTGCTTGTCTTACCTAAAAATACTTCATGTATGCAATTTGCAGTCTGACTACCAGGTGCATTGAAATATAATTCTTTGTAACAGGTGAATGAAATAATTTGTAATGAGGCACTTAAATATTTGAAAATGGCCCATTCAGATTAAAAGAAAGATAAAAGACCTATTTGAAGTGAAGACGTTTACACTCTTTACATGTAACTTGCTTCTGCACCTATTATTTGTGAACAGATTTGTTTGTTATAAATGTACGCTGCCTTATCAGTACCTTTCCAGTCTTGCTCTTCTTGTGGGCAGGGTAGAGGAAGATGCCACCGTAGACGATCGTCCTGTGCATGTCAGCTACCATGGAACCAATGTACCGAGCACCATATGGGGATTTCCCTTCCTGAACACAGAAAAAAGCAGATTCAACTTTAAAGAATGTTTTATTTTGCATGTTAGAGGTTTCATGTCACTAAATGATATAAACAAAAATATGAGTTCAATTTTATTTAATTTATTTATTTATATTGCACGTTTACTGTCTCAACTAACATAAAAATAACATGCGACTAGTCTACTCAACACACCCATACCTGCTCGATGAAAAAAAGAACCCAATTCTGACTTTAGGTTCCATGCACTTGGTTTAATTTTCTGCATACTTCTTATTCGTTACCCCCATTAGAATATGAGATAAATTTCTTTTGAGGTTGATTTTGTAACGTATTCTAGCTGTCAAAACAAAATATTAGGTGAATTGTACACTTTAAAAAAACAAATTGGGACTACCATTAATTTTGTTAAGGAAGAGATATGCGTGTACTGAAGAGAAATCTACTCTGCACTACAGTTTAATAAGAACAGGACAGAGGTAGAATTTCAACAACAGTTCACTTTCTCACATTTCAATCTCCAAACAACTCCCAAATCGTATACATGTATATGCCAGGAATACACTTATGGGAACCAATAGTCTTTCTGGTGGACTAGTGGTTTTGTCACTTTAAATTTGATGCATTTGTGTCCTTTTGTAATAATAATAATAATAATAATAATAATAATCTTTTAAAGTCCCCTCCAAATTTTATTAAGTTAAACTGAAAATGGAAATTCTTTTTGCCCAATTGATTGTGAGCCAGGCAGCCACTGAGCAGCGCCAGATCGACGTTGCTCTATCCCTTATTGATGACCAAATCTTTCTTGGGGGTGTGGTAGTCCTGAAAACGACTGTTTGTTATGGTTTCTATGGACTACCACACCCCCAAGAAAGATTACTGAGTCCGAGTCCTTTTCAGGACTCCTCAACCCTCTCTCTCTCTCTCACACATGGTGCACTCGCAAACCTACTGTATAATATTATTATTAAATAACAATATTTGACTTACCTCTGTAAATATGGATTGGTTTTTGTGTGATATAGATATCGATAGTTGAAGTTCCTGGATGACTGAGCAATGCGAAAACAATATTGGTCAGTCATCCAGGTACTGCGCTAAAGATATTGAATACACCAATTCATTGTAACACTAGGAAGCCTTATATAGATAATACTATCACCAATATCATATTCCATTATTTCAATATTATCATGCTATCTCACCCCTGGATACTTCTTTGATTCCACATATTTAGCAATACTCTTGTCCCAGTACTGAGAGTATCCTTCGTTGATGCTGAAGATCTTGCCTCGAGACTTGATGGTAATCAGACGGTCAGTCAGAACAAACTCACCTATAGCCTACAGACACAAAAGACAGATAAAACATGTGTTATTATTGTGATTATATGAGTTATTATTATCACTTGGACAAGTCCAATTTGGTCAGCGTATACAGGCCCGGATCCAGGAATTATGGAAAGGGGGGGGGGGGGGGATGGGGGGGGGATGGGGGGGGGCACATTGAAAAACGGTCAGAAGTGACGCGTCAGCGCCGCGTTCTACTTCTGTGCATGCGCCGACAGGGGGGTGTTTGAGGGGGATGTGGCCCCTCAGCTGAGCAAACATTTAAATTAAGCTTTAGAGTTTTGGCAATACAGAATACAGAACATGATCTAGATAGCCGTAGTGAGCGATAAAAACTCTAATCCATCCCATGAAATTACATTGCCCCTATTGTGTGATCGTTTTAAAGATCACAAAAAAAGCCCTCAGATTAGGCACTCCATCTCATTGAGTTTAGCAGAAAACGACCTTCATACTGGACACAACATTCAATCGGATGGTGCCCAGGCATTATCGAGTTTGAAACACACTTCTGATCAAGAATGCTAGAAGAAGCCATTTGGATAAATAGGATTAGTCCTGCACTGAACAGGGACGCTTGCTATACAACATTTTCTCTGCTTCAACTTTCTACACTAACCAAATTCTTTACTTCAACCCTGGACCCAGCATTATAACTAACCCTATGTCTTAATCCTAACCCTAAATCAACAATAAAACCCAATTGCAATCCTAGCCCTATACCTCTGATCAAGTAAAGCCTGGATCAAATTGTTACAGGACTAAATGGCGGGTTATTAATTAATATACTTACAGGATCAAGTTGAAATCCATTGACACCGCAACCAGTGCTGAGTACAATCATTGTAGCGCTACCATAGAGGGCATAACCAGCTGCGACCATGCTGGAACCAGGTTGAAGAACATCGGATGAACTTACTTCCCCCTTGGGATCCCCTTCCTAATTGATATGAGAGATGAGAAAATACATTTCACAGATTCTTGATTAACATGAGTTTCATAACTAATACGTGTTAACAAACCTACAAACCTGTACAAAAACAAGGCTGTATTTGTGCAAAAAGTAACTTGGGACATTTCTTCATTTCCATAATATTTCTCAAAATAAATTTTACAAAAATTGACACAAAGCTTGGGGGGGGGGCGTGGTTACTAAAATTACTATTATGCTTCAACTGCAAAAGAAAAATCTACCCTCAATGACAATACATACCAGTAACAAATCTTTGAAAAGCTTTATTCTCATTTTTAATGAAAACTGGTCAACTTCCCATTAGAATTGCATCTCCTAGTACTGTAGATATTTTACTCACCTTTTTCCAAATTCCAAATATGGTACCGATCGATACCAAGCAGTCAATGTTCGATGACCCATCCAAGGGGTCAAAGGTCACAATGTACTTTCCTCTCCTGTTGGTCTCGACCTCAATGACCTTCTCATTCTCCTCAGAGACCAAGGCACAGGTTGTGAAGGAGTTCTTGAGCTGGCTAATGAAAAGGTCATTAGAGATGATGTCTAGCTTCTTCTGCTCATCTCCGGTAACATTAGAACCACCAGCAATACCATACCTGTTGAGCGACAAAAAAAAACATCATAAGATAGTTTTGGAATAAACACTATAACCTGCCCGAAAATGGGAACATCTAGACATCAGTCTAACTTCCTTTTTTATGCCAGTTTTCAAGGCATCTATGCCTCCCCTTGTGTTTAACAATTTACATGAATATATGACACAAATGTCATTCTAATTTTCTAAATTCTAAATTCTAAATTTCATTCTAAACCTAAACCTGCCTTAAACTATCACATATCATAAATTGTCTGCATGTTGGTCTGGGCAGAAAATCAAGCTTTTCCCTTTAATAAGTTCCTGGTTAATTTTTCAACTGTTCATCTGAATAAAAGAGAAAAAAAGCATCAGATCGTACAGAACACTGTATAAGAGCAAAACAAAACTCAAGATTCAACTACACTGTATTCATTTTGCCTGCTTGAATGTCAGAAAATTTAATTCTCACTGGCCATCTCAAATTCACAGGGTCAAGTGGTGCAAATAAAATGGGCGGCATTATAGCACCCTCTCCTCCCAAATCTGTATTTAATGTTTACTGGCACACCTCTTCCACTGTCTTTCAACCTCCTTCACTATCTGTACCACCCCCAGCCCCCCCCCCCCTCCTCACATCACCCCCTCTCTCTCTCTATCTCTCTCACACGCACACACAGACACACACTTGCTCTTGAGCCCCCCCCCCTCTCTCTCTCTTTGACGTACAGTGTATGCTACATTAATGAAAATGAAACTTATAGAGTCTATGTAACTTTTCACATCTAAACTTTCTGTTTTTAAACTAACCATTTCCTTAAAAGTTTATCCCGCTTCCTCATTCCATACAACAATTCAACTTTGCAAACAGAATCTCTACAAGCTCAAAATGAAACAAGGAAGTATATTTGACAATTTAGTTTTAATAATAATAGCAATGATGTGGGTATACAGAGCTATTCTAAATTTTACAAGCCACACACTCAATATCAACATATACCCATTTCTGGTGGTACCCTCATGTAGACACCATTCCTGGAACACATCCTTACACCAGGGGGTTAACAAAAGGAATTACCCAGTATATTTACTAGGTCTATGATTTACAGAAGAGCGTTAATAGATGTAGGGTTACATCATCCGCGTACATCAAAACGTGAAAAAAGGGGAGCTTTTTATCACCAGACGCATGAAGGGTATCATATTGTATCAAATTCACTGTTGATAAGAAGATACATTCACCTGGAAAGGGTAGGAAATTTGATAGCCCTGGTTATAGGAGCAGAGGGTTTAATAGGATTTAAAACTCCTGTGGAAATACACAATAAAAAGAAAGCAATCCTTGAATAAGATGTAAAATACGATGGAAGATATAAAATCCCTGGGTCTAAAAATAGGACATTGTAGACAGGTTTCCTATTTCCTCTGGACTTCGAACCTTATTTAGGGTCCTTTTCAGATGGTGATTTAGGCAGCACACGTACATTGCTGAACGTGATATCTCTCCCCCCACCAATGCGCTGTATAAGCTCCTTGGTTTGTACCACTGAACTCAAACACTCTGGATAGCAACTAGTGCACAAGGCAATCTTAGCATGCAAGACTGTGTGTACATACTGACATCATATGAGTTTGCCATTGAGTGTACTTGAAGGAAAAAAAAAAAATGGTGGTATGATATGGCTGCATGACTAGTATGTGCAAATCTTGCACTTCTCTACCCCATTGGAGTGATTCACTTAACAGTATTTTGGCGGAGGATTCCGGGGGGTGTTTCATAAAGCTGTTTGTAAAGTTATGCATGACTTTACGAACGACTGGTATATGAAGTGCCAGATAGGATATGTCAAAAGTTTTTCCTGATATTTCCAATAACCCAAATTAAATTATGGCAAAAAATACTTTGCATTCAAAATGTTTGTTATAATAAGAATGTTAATTTACTATATATCTGCACAGTTCAACTTTAGTTGATGCAGTTAATTAATAAGGATTGAGCATCCCATTTGGCTTTTCATAAACAAGTCTTTCGTAAAGTCATGCGTAACTTTACGAATTAACAGCTTTATGAAACACCCCCCTGGTGTGTATTTACAGTTTGTTTATGGAGGATGATAAATGCTATCATATAACTTAATTTTGCTTAGAACTATAGGGCTGGGAATCTTCAGAATTGATTTGACTTTGTCTAGTCCCACATATAAAAAGTTCATGCTACCTACATATTTTCATCAGCTGTCTTGGTTGTTACTGTACTTTGTACTTCTACACCAGTTACGTGCTAGTGCTACAGAATGGAATAACTTAAATTCCAATCTGGCTGCACAAATCTTTTACACCACGGCCTATCGGCGGATACATTCACACCTGCTGAGGTGGGTGACCGCTTTGCTGTGATAGTCAAAGATTAGGCTAAAAAAAAACTCCCAAATGGAAAACCCCAACCCTTCGCTGTGTACCATGGTGTATATTGTGATTCTAGTAGGCCAGGATCCAGTATACCAGACTTATATGGTTGAGAGGAGGGGGTGGGGGGGGGGGGGGGGGGGCTGTCTTAATAAAATAATTAAAGGTGACAGTGTCAGGATATGAATTACAATTTGTCTGGATTAAAATGCCCTGATTGTATGAAGAACTTAATTTTCACTATATTTCAATATTTGTCAAGGCTTTCTATGTGTCACATTTTGTGGCTACCTATTACCTAATCTGTATAACTACTCTGTAGATTTATAAAAGATGTTTTTAATGATTTTTTTTCAATCTTTTTACATCGCCTGCCCTGCATAGGAAGTCCTTGGCTTTTCTTGAATTTTCTCCATTCCTAATAATTGTATGACTTTGCCATAAATAACGTCTCTGTTCCTTTATTGCTGAATTATCAATAAAGTGTTGTACACACAATTCGTACAGAGGGTCTGAAATTTGTAATAATTACTATTTGTTTCCATAAAAGTTGGCAGCTTTGGTTAAGTCATTCGGATTTAAAATCTTTTTTCTTTCTTTCTTTTTCCTACATCCATTTGACTTCCATCAGATATGATTCCATTAATTGTTATATGTTGAGTTAATTTCTTCATTCTGTCTTCAATGAATGAATAATGATAACAATAATGATAATAATACTACCAGGGGGTGTTTCATAAAGCTGTTCGTAAAGTCATACTACTTTACAAACAGCTTTATGAAACGCCCCCGGTACTACTACTACCACTAATTAATACAAACAGTGATACTGATAAATGACTGTCTAGTAATAGTCTACATTTTTTTAATGTAATGATAATGATGATAATATTAATAATAATGATAACAACAACCAGGACAACAATAAAAATACAAATGTTAACAGGTTCCTTAGTCTTATGTAACACAAAACTATTTAAAGACTTACAGTCGAGAAATACCAGCTTTGCGTACGTTAGACGAGATTGCTTTGACGGCAGTGGCGATAGAGTTGAGTAGCTGGGTCATTTCCCCCGTAGCTCCCTCGCATCGGGTCTGTTCCTCGATCATAAACCTCGTCAGTGTCATGAAATCTGTGTCCACAGTAGTGGGCATGGCGCAAGACTTCGTATCACTCATTTTTCTTCTAATATCTGAGATTCTCGGGGAAATGAGATAGGAATGTACCTAAATTGCACACGTCTGTGACACTCTGGAATGGTGACGATGCTACAAAGTTTGTTATTCTGCTCGAATTTGCACACCTTCGAAAAGCTCCGGGCACCTGTTAATTGTTTCTCCAAAGCAAAATCGTCAACGTATGTACGTACGTGTAGTGTGTGCGAGTATTATTTATACGGAAGTAATCACTCTCTAGCTCTGTGCATTAAATGCAATGATATATGCATATTAATTAGCCGCGCCCACTCCCCGCCCTGACAAACTCGGCCCAGGGCCGTGACATGGCAGAATAAAAAAGAGCGTTGTCATGATTGTATCACTTTAAAAAAAAAATGTAAAATATAGAAAAAAATTAATAACAACAACGCAAATGACGGCGGATGATTCACGCATTCCTTCCTTTTTGAAATTTGTATGAAGAAAAGTTAGAGATAACATGTTATTGTACAGTACATGTAACCTCTGTATATACAGACCACTCAAGCGGATCGAGACAATGAGCGGTCCTTATACAGTGGCCTTTTAAAACAGGTGGTCTTTATGTACAGATTCTTTAATGCATGTTTCATTGAGAAATTTGATTGTTTTTAAACGCAAACTGAAATTACCTTCATTGAGTAATTATGCTGAAAATATTTAATGTAAAAACTATGTCATTAATTACATATGATTATAAAGTATGTAATTACTTCTTTTTCTTGCTCCATTGTTTAGCCCCCCCCCCCCCCCACCTGTCAGGATTTTGTCGGTAAAATTGCGCTGCCGTCGGGAAAAAAGAGAAAAGGGGGAGGAAAAAAAAGAGAGGGAAAGGGAAAGAAAGGAAAAAAGAAAAGGAAAAGAAAAGAAAGAAAGGAAAAGAAAGGAAAGAAAGAAAAAGAAATGAAAGAAAAGAGAAGAAAGAGAGAGAGAAAAGAAAAAGAGGGAGGAGAGGAAAGAAAGGAAAAGAAGGAAAAGAAAGAAAAGAAAGAAAAGGAAAAAAAGAAGAACAAAAGAGTAAAAGGGAAACAAAAGAAACGGAGGATGAAAGAAAGGAGAGAGAGGGGAGGTAAGAGCCTGAGAGAAGAAGAGTGGGAGTAAAAGAGAGAAGGGGGTTGTTGGGTGGAGTCGTCTCGTCGAGGGAGCAAGAAAGACACGGTCCAATATGTTGCTGTGTCGGGTCAGCTGTGTCGGTATTCTTGCTCGATCCTCGTTTACTAATATCAATGCAGAAGTTTGAAGTCGGTGAGATGTATATTGTCGGTCGGCCGACAAGTTTTTTTCCCTACGAACTGTGACTTTTTATCCGCTGTGACTACTTCGAGAGTGACTACAACTACAATACTTGTATTTTCTCGAAGTTTCACTGTCCTATAATAATAAATAATAAATAAATAAATAATAATATAGCCTAATAGTCCACTCCAAATTTTATTAAACCGAAACGGAAATTCTTTTTGCCCAATTGATCGTGAGCCCGGCAGCCACTGAGCAGCGCCAGATCGACGTTGCTCTATCCCTTGCTGTTGAACGCCTAACAAGGTAGCAACAACTCCCATCTTTTAACGTCTTTTGGTATGACGCGGCCGGGGTTCGAACCCACGACCTCCCGGTTGTGCGGCGGACGCTCTACTGACCGAGCCAACACTCCGGTATAATATCAGCTAAAGAATTCAGAGGTTTAAAATTTTCGGGGAAACTAAATTCAAACAAGGTTTAAGAGTAAACAACGGTACGACGAATCGTTTTCCTTTCTCTATATTGTGATAAAACTCCAAAGATTCCGCGCTTTGCGCGGAAGGTGAAAACTTCATTTAGACGAGTGGAGAACGTTACAACGAATCGTCTTATTTCTCTAATAATTTAATGAAACGTTTCGCGCGGGTGGGGGAAAACTGAATTCAGATAAGGATTAAGAGTCGAGCACGGTACAACGAATCGTCTTCTTTCTCTAATAATTTAAGGAAACGTCAAAGCTTCAACGCTTTGCGCGAGAGGGGGAAACTGAATTCAGACAAATATGGCTTATTAAGAGTCGAAAACGGTACGACTTTCCTTTCTCTATATTGTGATGAAACGCCAAAGATTCCGCGCTTCGCGCGGAAGGGGAAAACTTCATTTTGGCGAGTGGAGAACGGTACAACGAATCGTCTTATTTCTCTAATAATTGAATGAAACGCCCAAACTTTCGCGATTCGCGCGGTGGGGGAGAACTGAATTCAGATAAGGATTAGGGTAGAAAACAGTACACCGAATCGTTTGCTTTTTTCTCATAATTTGATAAAACGTTAAAGGATTAAGAGTCGAGCACGGTACAACGAATCGTCTACTTTCTCTAATAATTTAATGAATCGCCAAAACTTCCGCGAAGGAGGGGGAGAAGTGAATTCAGATAAGGATTAAGAGTCGAAAACAGTACACCGAATCGTCTGCTTTTTTCTCATAATTTAATGTAAATACAAAGGATTAAGAGTCGAGCACGGTTCAACGTATACTTTCTCTAATAATTTAATGAAACGCCAAAACTTCCGCTCTTCGCGCGGGAAGGGGAGAACTGAATTCAGATAAGGATTCAGAGTCGAGAACAGTACACCGAATCATCTATCTTTTTTCTCATAATTTAATGAAACGTCAAAGCTTCCGCGCTTCGCGGGAAGGGGAGAAACTGAATTCAGACAAGGATTAACAGTCGAGAACGGTTACGGGTACAGCAAATCGTCTTCTTTTTATAATAATTTAATGAAACGTCAAAGCTTTCGCGCTTCGCGCGGGAGGCCTATCACCCGCCCCCCCCCTAATAAGCGCGTTTCCCGCACTCTTTAAGTGATTCGCTTGCTCTCTACCGCCCCTCCCTAAAATAAGATCCTAGCTCCGCGCCTGCATTAAAATATAGCTATGATGCTGACTAAGTTGACGAAATAATTCATATATTTATGTCGTCGAGGAAAATGACCATTTGCGCATACGCAAGTACTATAGATAGTCCATAGGAAAAATAATTTAGCCTTCGGCCCCGGGTTTATAGGGTTAAATTTGTATATATTGGACATTTAATTTTGTCGGTAATTGGTGGCTAGTTTTGTCGATAATCGTTGGCCTCTACACCCCCCCCCCCCCCCCACTGAAAAAGGTCTAGCGACGCCCCTGGTCTTGCTCACATTACTCACACAATTATTACACATTTCTATCAAACTTCATTTGACACAATGTCACATCATCTAATTATTGTGTCGAACACTCGGTATTCGATGACTGTCAAAATGATTAGTTTATTTTAAAATACATTTCACCATATTCCATTGTTAAAAATAAAAAGGTCATAATGAATCAAAGCTGTCGAAACTGGTTGAAAAAAGTACAGTGCTATTACGTCACTCAAATTTTGTCAAAGTACGTCTTGGTCTCATGAACTGAATTTTAAAAGAAAAAAAAAGTTAATTATGATGGCTTATATTAGACAGGCCTTGTAATGTCACACTATGCAATAAAATGATATACACATTGGCGCCTAGAAACACAGTATAAGTATATAAATGTTTTTTTTTTTTTTGGGGGGGGGGGGGGGGGGTTGGCAGAAAGAAAGAAAAAAGTATAATTTACACAAAAGTGAGAAAAACCCCGGAAAATCATGTTATTTTAGCATCATTTGTAAATCACTGGTATCGAATAAGAAAGAAACTACGTTTGAATTGTATTGGGGGAGCACTGCCCTCTTCCCTCAAGGCGCGTTAAAAAAGTACCCTACCATCATTACTTTTATCATCATAGTTATTTTAATTTTTATTATTATTATTATTATCACCATTATTCGGGGAGGGGAGTCATTCTGTCGGCTTCATTTAGCAAATGTATAGTTATTGTCATGATGAAACTCAATGTAACTTGATTCTTGGTAATACAAGAATGAATTCTCTCTGTGATGAAACAGGCAGTTGCATCGCTAGAAATTTAAAATAAAAAAAAAGATCCCGAATAGCAATTTTTTGCAATCATCTTTCATTTTAGAACGTCCATAGAATAACAAAAAAAATGGATCAGCTGGAAATGGGGTTCCTGTAAGAAAAATGATACCCATAAACAAACAAACAGGAGAAAGCATCTGAAATGTGATAATTTGCCGAGAATCAGCAGTTGCAAAGATATTTTGAGAGGGGAATGTAATACAATTCATCTTACCCAACCCCTGCCCCGAGCCCATCTCTCTCTCTCTCTTCCTCTCGCTTTCTCTTCCTCTATCTTCCTCTTTCTTTCTCTCCTCTCTCTCTCTCTCTCTCTCTCTCTCTCTCTCTCTCTCTCTCTCTCTCTCTCTCTAATCCACTCTTTATAATAATGATATCTTACATGTATAATGCGCCTAATACTGTCTTTGTTTCTAGGCGCAGTATTACACCGGTCATCGGATTCAGACTTGCCCATTCCGGCCAGTCGCCATTTTACAAGCGCCACTTGCTCATCCAACCACATTAACTTTCGTATCCTACCGGGTACCCTTTTAATACCTGGGTGGAGAGTTGCAAATGTAGATTAACGTCTTGCCAAAGAAATTTAGTGCCGTGTCGGGGATCGAACCACGACCTTCGAATTTCAAGTCAAGTGCTTGAACTACCCGACTATACGACACTTCTACTATAACACTTTATCTCACTATATTGACTTTTCTATCCTTTTATCTTTTTTCTCACTTTACCCCCCCCCCCCCACCACACACTCTCTCTCTATCTCACACGCCCCCACATAACATGATCAACAAGAAAATACAACTTCCCCGTGTTGCTGCGTATAACATTATACATGTAGCTTGAAATACTAATAAAAAAATTATATACCCCTGATGTTAAAGACCACAGAATTACATAAAGGAAGGAATTAGCTATACATCATACATCATATAACAATAATACCGTGAATACACTAGGCAGGAAGTACGTAGGAATTACATCACTTATCCAAGATAATCTGTTTAAAGTAGATTATCTTTCAGTATTCAATGGGATGTTTGTAAATGAAGGTCTTTATTGGTTATTTTAACTGCGTCAGTGGATGATTTAATTATGATTTATAGCAAATTCATCTGAAAAAAAGGTTCTAAATATGATATTGCATAGTCATTATACATCATGGTATTTTGATGACGAGCAATTGAGCTATTAGTCTAATTTATCAATTTAACTCATGAAAAATAT